ATGGATAGCTAAATCTGCTGTAGAATGGGCACCCTGTCAGAGTTGATCCCTTGGCTGATCTCTGTATACATGGCCACCTTAAAGTCAACCCAAAAAATCTAGGAGTACATCACAGCCGTTCCAGGATTATCGGATTTATTTTGTCTACCAGGTCCGAAATTGCACAACATTTTGTGCAAATTTGGCCCTTCAGCAGTGTTTAATACATTATACAATGAATGTGAGTACTAACATTTGTGGATGCTGTAGCTTGAGCACCCTAAGGCTGGCCATACAGTGGTAGATTTTTGTATAAACATTCTTATTTTTTCCAGTCGGTCTGAGGTCTCTGGAGAGAAGTATGTGCCCACTCCTTAATGGAGGTTGAAGGGGGTCTCTAGGAGTTATAGGTTGTTTAGTGTATTAAGCACCAGATATAGGGATAACTTTACCCAAGACGTTGTGCAGTTTTTGATCCATGATTACATAAAAAATGTGGATAGTCCCAGAATAACAGTGATATGAACTCCCAGGGATTTTGTGGATTGATGTATTAGAATTAGAACTATGCATTGGTTGGAAACACTGAATACCTGGTGAGCCTACACTGCTTACTAATAGCCCATGTTACCTGACCACATTGTATGGCCACCTTAAAATGTATTGCAACCTTTGCAGTGAAATTTGAGAAACCCACAAACTTGAGAAACCCTCTTTGACAACTAGAAGCTGAGATATGCTGAGGAAATGGAGAGGACATCGAGGGAAGAGATGTGTTTAAAGCGGTAAAGGCCAACGGCAGGGCACCACTGTGCACTGTGCTCTATTATTGTGGAATGTGCAGGTTTTCTCTGGTGGGTCTATTATTGTTCAGGTTTCCCCTGTTACCACAGTTTTCCTCTTCTCTGCTCAGCGTACCTCCTCTCTAGGTACCGGGGAGCTGAGGAAGCTATCAGTAGAGTTGGAGGGAGAGCTGGGTTTGCGGGGATAGAGCTAGAGGAAGGAAAGCGCTGTATACAGGAACCTTGTGATAAGAAAATGCTTGGAGATCCAGAGACAGGTGAGGATAGGAGCAGAGCTGGTCTCGGAGAAAGGCTGGCACTTTGCATCCTGTAAACCTCCTTCAGGGGTGGAAATTAAAGTGATATTAAAGTCAAAGAATTTTTAAGCTATTTCAAATGCTGGTGAAATCACTTACAATGGATGCTGCTCCTTGATGTTTAAAGGTTTTAGTTTCTTGCAGAATTAGCTGGTCCCCTGAGCATTGGCTCTGATATCCTTTTTTGGGGTGCCTCTCCTTGCAGGGTTCTATGGAGCCACCCTTGTGTGTGGTAGTAAGCTGTGCATGTCACCACAAGGCACAAACACAAGCACAGCAAACCAATCCACTCCCCTCTCTTCTCCAAGCTAGTAGATGGACAGAAGCAGGAGACTGCTCTCTCTTGTACTGGACAGAACGTTTCAGGAAGCAGAGCTGAGATAGTTGGAGCTGTTCAGAAACTTGATGACTGTAAGTGCTTGGGCAAAAATGTAAAGAAATACTTTGTTGGGTAATATATTTGTTTGATCTGGATTCATTATACTGGAAAAAAGCTTGAGAGTTTAATACTACTTTAATATTAAATTCAAGAGCCAGTGTGTCCAATCCAGGAGCAAGCAGGAATTATGTATGGGCCAACTCAATGACAACTAAATAAAACTTCTAAAGTAAGGCTGTACAGCTGTAAAGAAGCATTGGCTACCTGATTGTTGTGATTTGCCAGCCATGTCCTATGTTGCCTGGCACTGATTTGATGCCTGAAGTATAGGGCTGCAACAACTAATCGACATAATCGATTATAATCGATTATTGAAAAAGTTGTCAACTTTTTCAATAATCGATTAATCGGCTTCCGATTAGTTGCATGACCCGTTGCCCGGCTTCCTGATTGCCTGCGCGTGCGCACCCCAACTTGCGGCCACCGCTGCCAGACCCACCCGCATCCGCGCTCTACACGCTGCACCTCCTTCCCGCCTCATACTCAGCGCCCGCCCACATCAACGATTCGCACAGGGACACGGGGAGGTGTAGTAAGGAGGAGCAGGTGTGGGGGGAATAGAACTACAAGGGGTATTTGAGGTGATTGGTCACCGAGCGTGCAGAGACCAGACTGAGGTTACCAGTCCCCATAACAGAAAATGCAGGACCAGGACACCTAGCAGGCAGCTTTCTAACAAAGGATTTCATAAGAATGGATGCACTCACATAGAAAAGAATATTATTTTCTGAAAAGGTTAGCAATTTGTTTCATGAAGGCCATTTTTACATGTGTGGCAGAAGGGTCTTAAAAGCAAGGGGTTGGATCACGTATTTATCACTCCCTGGCCACCTGCTGCAAAGTCAGCATTGTAGTCAGACAGTGCTGTACACGTTACTGTACACATTATCATGTGCCCATGATGCTTTGCTTTGCAACGTAGCAAAAATTATTCAGAAGGTGCTGTCTGCTTAACACAATTATAGAGGAGGATGGGACTGCGCCGCAACCATGTAGCAAATGCAGTTACAGGGCAGTAGTTCCATAAAAAAATCCCACTTTGGATTTAAAAAAAGCGCTTTCAGGAGCTTCTGAACGCCGGACAGCTGCTGCTTTACCGCCCTCTAAAAAACATTCCACTGTAGATCACTTTTCAGAGAGTATAAACATGGCCATAATTAACTTTTCATCTGTCCAGAGAACATCTTTAGGTGAGAACTTACATATTATCTTAGTGTTATCATATCCAGTGTAGCCAGGTTTTACAACTTCCCACAGGGCTTGTCTATGTGTAAAGCTTTGTGAATTGAGCCTCATGTGTCTATAGTTTCCATACAGAAACAAGCAATTGGAAACATTCCTCACTGTGCACAGTAGATATAGCTCCCAACTATCCCTCATTTGGAGCCCAATCTTTCTGTCCCTCTTTTGTCCTCTGTTGCTGTGATGATTTATAAACCTCTATAAAAAGTATTCCATTTATCTACCAAAAATGTTATACCACACTAAACCTTGTAGTGAAAGGTGTCCCTCTTTCTCATCTCATAACGTTGGCTGGTATACCCAAATGCTTTTGGAGCCTGCGTGCTCGTAAGACAACCAAATTGTTAATAACTGCTGTTTACAAAGTTTATTTCACAAAACGTAATTAAAATGTCAGACTCGTTAGAAAGATGGTGCTACAATGTAATGATTTTTTGCATGGGATATGTACTTGGTTACGTTAGATCAGGGTCAAGCTGATATGTAAGAGTGTGGGTTGTAATGCACATTTTAGAACCAAAAACACAGCTGTTGATCAGCTCTGCTTACAGCCAGGTACAGCAAGGCAAAGTTCCTCATTAATAATCCATTCGGTCAGGTATATCTTCCAGAAGCACCTCTCCTACATGTGACCAGGCTGTTCTTTCAAAGTTGCAAACTAAGGCAGTTTGCAGTGGATATACTGTATTAAGTCAGAGGTTGAATGGACATATGAAACAAAATTGTCATACTGTCTATATGTAAACCCAATCACTAAATTATCATGTAAGCTTTAAAGCCCAACTTCAGGAAAATTAAACTTGGGGCTGCCCCTGCATTGCAAGGGTTAACTGCTTGTTTATGCCTAGGACACAGGAAAAAGCTGTTTTACCTGATCCCCACTCCCACCGGCTCCCTCTAGGCTGCTAGACCTGTCCCACAGCATCTTCTTCCCTGCACTCCAGAGGTATAAGGACCGGTGACGTCATCAAGTACAATGCAGGCTCCATATCTCTGCATTGTACATGAGGCTGGAGAAGAGCAGAATGCTGACTGACAGGTGAGTAGGGATCAGGTAAGTAAATCAGCTTTTTCCTGTCACCTAGGCAGAAAAGTAAAACTTTCAATTTCCCTGGAGTTGGGCTTTAACCTTTAATGTAATTTCAATATTTTTAAATCTGCAGCATTCATTAAAATAATACCTGGTGATCCTCCCCTGAATGTTAAGGAACTTCCTGTATAGGGTGACAACAATCTGTACCTGCCTCCCAATTGTGCACCTGGATTGTTACCCTGTCACAGGAACTTAGGATGGAGATTACAAGTGGCCATTTCAACACACATTCTGCAAGGCATGGCCCACTGCTCTAAGGAAATCCGACTTAAACAATACCATCGCTGGAGTACATGCATGTGGACAGGAAGCAGGTCTGGGAGATCAGCAACACTGAGGTGAAAACAATATTTGTTTTTTAAAGGCTAGGTTTTATGATACAAGTGACCCCTACAATGGGCATCATGGTTCCTGCAGTCAACCCATACGTCACTACTGTGTTTTACCTAGTGGAAAGGTAAATATAAAGCCTGTTTCTACGGTTGTAATATTTGAGTGTTGTGCCAGGGTTGCTTTAACACACAAACAGCAATAAAAGGTATTTTTATCATAGAAAGGGAAAATGTTACAAACTCTGTTTACCTGTTGGGAAGATTCCACTTTCAGTGGGGCCACTGAAAAAAAACATTCAAAAGTCCAATGTTAGAACCACTAAATTGTGAATGTCGGGTGCTTAGCTCTGGTGGGGAAGGAGGGACTCCTTTTGGTGTCTGAACTTCATTACAATTAATAGATTGTTAATAGTTAATGTGGCAAATTCACGTTAAGGTTTATTATATAACACTGATGTGAACACCAAATAGCTAAATACATAAGTCCACATATACTTCCGTTGTACTGAATTTATACCTAAAAGCTAATTTAAAGCAAAATAAATAGAAAAAGAGCATATACCTGTTGAAAAGAAAATTCTAACTATGTATTGCCTGTTTTTGTAGGTCAAGAAAGGCTGGATCTCGATTTCCAGTAAGCGAAATGGAATCTTTTGAATTTCAGGAAATGTTCTGAAGACATGCTTGCCTTCAGTATGCTCGTTATTTACCTCTTTTGGTGGGAGATAACATGAAGGGGTTCCACATTTAACAGCACTGATGTTCATTTCTCCATCAAGATCACTTATCAGGCTCTAGGATCCCTATGAGTTGCTGCCACATACTGCCGTCATGGCACATGCTATTGAAGTGGATGACAATGAGATGACCCAAGATGATTACCCTGGAAGCTCCAGGAGAGACTCTTCACTTAAGGCCCGCCACCTATTCCGCAGGCTGAACAGGCCGGGGAATGGACACCCCAAAGGGCTTCGAGCTACTTCACCAATGGGAAGGGTCATCCTGATAAACTCACCGTTAGAAGGTAAACTCCTCTTTTATCCGTAGTGAGTTATTGTACGATTATTTTTAATCATACAAAAACTTGCCAACACTACTGGATCAAATCCCAGAGTACATTTGATTCCCATAAAGAGGATCTCTCAAGAAACCTTTAAGGGCATTTGTAATACTTTATAATAGTTAGATTATTGCCGCAGCCTAACCAAGGATACCTACAGTATTTGCTTTCATTCTGAGATACATTCTTTTCTTCTCAGTGTAGTGCATTCTCAGTGTGACTGCCGGTCCAACAAAGGCTGTCCTTTCTCCTGTGTGAGCCCCGTGTGAAGGTAAACACTATCTCTAGGCTAGAGAAAATCTGTCAATTGACAGATCATTTAGGTTTCTTTCATGCACTCTAGACATGACCTTTGTCAAAGCCAAGGTACATTTTCAGTTTAAATTGGCTTAAAGTGTGTTTTCTTTAAAAAGCAGCCACAGCCTTAATCGAAAAGCCTGCCCCCTGCCAGCATGCTGCAGAGTGGGACTCATGTTCTTTGTGTGTAAGCAGGGGTTTGTCTGCAGATGTCTAACACTTCCTGCTGAAATAATTACAGAGCCCTCAATCAGCAGGGGGCATGAGCATTGCTGATTGTAGAGCAAAGGTAGGGGGCATGTCTGACTTCTGCAGAGACATCACTGTTTCTCCACAGAGAGCAAGGGTCCCATTTGGCATCGTGCTGGCTGGAGATAGACTTTTCTACCCATGCTGTGGTTGCTTTCTAAAGAAAGCAAACTATAAGAGCTCTATTTATCAATGTTTTCGTAAAACATTGATAAATTGACTCCCAAGACTGCACACCTTTTGCTTTGATGCACCTGGAATGTGTTTAGCTGGTTTAAACTGAAAGTTTAATTGGGCTTTAGATGGCAGTTTCTTGACTGTCTCTTTCATCTCCTGCCTCAGTTTAGTGCAGATAACATCTTGTCAGTCTTGAGAATGAGGGGTCACTTCTGCTAAGACTGGACAAACAGCAATTCATGAGAGATATTCCTGCACTGTTAAACAATTAAAGATTAGAGATTTAGATTATTACTAATGCTTATTTAAGAGCACATTCCCAGCCACAGCAACCCAGTATGGTTCCAGCAGATGCAAGACTGTTGGGTTGTGTTTGCTTATGGCTAATTAGCAGAGTTGAAATATCTGAAAAACATATCGGTAAGTTAAAGCTTTTATTTTGTGTTGATGTCCTGATTATATGGGCTATCCAAATTAGTATAGCCAAAACTGTTGGATAGAATAAGGAAGGGTTAAAACCCCTGTCAGTTTCTTTTTTGCTGTATGTGTCCCATTGGGGAGATTAATTGTCGGTTCTGGAGACACAATAGGAAGTAAAACGGAAATCTCCACAAAGTAAGGTGGATTTCTTCATTAGATAGTTGTCACTGGAACAATTGTCCCTATTGAAATAATCTGGTTACATCTGTGAGATACTGTGTGTGTGTGTGTGTGTATATATATATTATATATATATTATCCATTAATGTGGCGGGCACATTACAGGGAGTTGGTATGTTTTGTAACCTCTGCTCAGATTCACATTATAAAAACCTTTAGCCACACAATATTTCCCACCCTTAGTAACATCCTTATGTTAGATCACCTTTTTGCAGGAAGACATTTCCTTCACAGAATAATTTAAAAATGAGTACATAACCTTATATTATTTGACTATTACTACTGTTAATGAAGAAAATGTGTGTCCAATAGTTATACAGAAAAAAGCTGAATGTCTGACACCTGTAGGCACGTGCCTATTGTGCCTAACAGTGAATCTATAGCTCTGCTTCTGCATCTTTTTCTTATATGTTATGATAGAGTTGCCCTGCTTTGTGAAAGATTTATTAAAGAGGAATGACAAGGGCTGGCCTGTTAACTGCCTAAACTCATACACAGATTTCTCATGCTCGGAGCTTGCAGCATGCAAGGACATGTAGCCGACTTCATTTGAATTTTGACTCTCTGGCTGATATTTCAAAATTGGAAAAACTAAGAATGCCTTTAACTTCTTCTGGTCATCAGGGATGTGTGATTGCCTGGCAATTCGGTGACTTGGCAGTGAGTGGATACATACAGATGTTGCTGGTTTGCCTCTAGTCTACATGTTTGGCAACCATGACCTCCTTACTTCAGATTGATTCAACTTTTCACCTGTTATCCATGGCAATCTCTGCTGCTTTGATGGTTGTAAACCAGCCATACTGTGAAGCATAGTTAAATCATCTCTGCTGTATCATCAGCTATGTCATCTGGCAGCAAGGTTCTTCATAGCCAGTCCAGTTTGGTGTGGTGGAAAATCTCTGACATTAAATACTCTATTCACCAAGTGCACAACAGAGATCAAACATCGCCAGAATCAAGTAGGAAAGTCATGATAGTACAGTGATGACCTTATCTTGATGATTAGATCTCCTGTTAATGATAGATCTGCCCACCTATGGCCAGACTTACTGTTACAATACTTTGTGTATAATGCATGGTAATAGGGCAGCTTTAGTATTAGTAGAATATATAGATTAATATGTCTTAATTGCTTTGCAGCCAACAGTGATGAGAGTGATTCAATCCTTGCCATCACAGTTGACAAAACTCCAGATGGAAAATTGGGGTTCAGCGTCCGAGGGGGATCAGAGCACGGCCTTGGGATCTTTGTCAGTAAAGTGGAAGAAGGAAGCAGTGCAGGTAAGACAAACAGTATATGTTAATGAGTGATGTGCCCATAAGTTGTCTCTCATTGTATACACAATCATGTTTTAAAGCTTTCTTTGATGTGAATATCTCTTATTTTGTTTGCTTTTGTTTGTATCTGGCTACCGACAAAATGGGCTTCATCATAAGTGATGCTTGGGGGATGCTGAAGAGAAGGAATCTCCAGTTACCAGGGTCTTTCTTTGTTTCCAATTTGACCACCTAGGGAATAGAGAAATACACCATGGTAGCTAAAGACTGTCCTTCAAGCATGCACATCACTCAGCTTGCCCTGTGTGCCTTTGGTTGCCTGGTGTTAAATGAGCCAATGAACAATATAAACAGACTTATGTATTAAAGTTTAACACAAGCTGCTATGCCAGTACACAGGAGGGTATGTCTTTATAGTGGTCTGTCGTACAGCTGTGCATTTTCTGAAATAGAATAAAATCTGAAGTTAAATAGTATTAAATCTATTTATGCCTCACTCACAGCCATTGTGCATGTTGTGGTTGGTTAGAGTTAGGGCTTGTTCCCACCATGCGCATTTCAGGAGCAGAGCAGTTACAGACCGGATCAAAACTTGCGTCCAATGTATTCTAATGGTATTTTGGGCTCTAGTTTACATAGCAGCGTCCATTACAGAGCATGTAAAACAACTGTTGCAAGCCCTACTTTACCCGCACTGGAATGTTCTGGAACGCATGCAAACACATCAAAACTGCATACAAACGCCCTGGAACGCACTGAAGGCCCATTTTAAACTAAAAAAAACAAAACGGCCCAGAACGCATCAAAAACGCGGTATAACACACTGCCCTGCATGTGCAGAAACTCATGCATATCTGGTCTGCATTTGGTGTGAACAATATATCTATAGATATATATCTATATATATATATCTATAGATATATATCCATAGATATATATCTATATATCTATAGATATATATACCTATATGTACAGTATATATAACAAATCATACACTAAAACAGGAATGCACAAATCACAGGAGCTCAGTATCCTTAAAAATGACAGCTGCCCCCTAACTTTTGGGTTTTTCTCTAGTCTAGTAGCTGGGAAAGTATCTGTACTTGCACTTGTACCTGTAGCAAGTATGGTACTTGGTATCTGCGCATCCTGAGAGCAGAGCATAACAATTATTTGTAGCTGTAAATCCTGAGTTTAAACTGCTCCTTATAAAGTAGTAACCGCTAACCAGCCATAGTACAGTCTGCCATATACAGTGCATAACTGGTGGGCTGTACTATGGTAGTAGTTCTCTAATGCTGCACAACTCCATCTTTTAATCTGGAAGCTAGCAATATACACATATGAGTGGACTGAAGGTGAAGTGAGTTTAAGTGTAGCAAATGTAGTGGTTATTTTAAACTTCCAGTAATGTGCAGTGGAGTTTGAAAATAAGTAGAGCTTATTTTTCATATGTTTGGATATGGCAAGATCTTTGCACTTGAGAATCCAAGACTATCCAAGTCTGCAAAGCATTGAAACTAGGGATGCACCGATACCAGTTTTCGGTATCGAGTACGAGTACTGATAAAAAAAATTTAGGTACTCGCCAATACCGAGTAATGGTGCCGTGTGCCCAGATTATCAGGAAGTCGGGCGGCGGATCATGACCCGTTGCCCGGCTTCCTGATTGCCTGTGAAGCCATTGTTTTAGCGAAAGAACACTGGCTTCACTTGCTGAGGCTGCCTGGCTTCCTGACCAATCAGCGAGTTATGAGGTGCCGTCTGGCTTCCTGATTGGCCTACCAAAAAGTAAAGCTGGCTTCCTAGCCAATCAGGAAGCCAGGCCGCGCATCATGACCCGCCTCCTGGCTCCCTGATTGGCTAGGAAACCGGTTTCACTTGTTCCTAGGCAGCATGGCTTCCTGACCGATCAGGAAGCTGGGAGGCGGGTCATTACATGTAGTAGTATCAGTATCAGTGCATCCCTAATTGAAACCACAATCAGTGGATCACTGTTACAATGCTTTGAGTCCCACAGACTCTTCCTCCTAGCCCACGTCCATACCGAGGTACAGACTTTATTATTATTACATAGTATTTATATAGCGCCAACAGTTTGCGCAGCACTTTACAATGTAAGGAAGACATTACAATACAATTCAAGACAAGATGGTAAGGAGGGCCCTGCCCCTGAGGGCTTACAATCTGAAAGGGAGGGGGAAATGAGGGGGGCTTTCAGCTAAGAGACAGGAGGAAGCATTGAGTAGTACAAGTCCCTCTGCTGTGGTAGTCTATCTATTCACAGATCCTGTCAAGAACTGATTAGGCATACACTTGGCTCTTCCCCATGCCTGCAGTGTTTCTGGTACCTGCCACGCTCTGCAGTGATTAAATAAAAGTAGCCATTTACTGACGCCTATGGAGATCTACTGATTTTCCTACATTCTGCAGAACAGCACAGGGATCAGAAGCAAGGTTGGAGGAGAACCAGTTTTCTAATTCAGTATATCTAGTAAAGGTTGGATTTCTTATTTAGTCCAATCTGATTTTATTCAAATTTTCAAAATACAACAAAGTATAACAATGTAAAAAAAACAATAAGAACAAAAGTGCTCAGGAAATTCAAAGAGTACAAGTAATGGCCACTAGGCCACTAAGAATAAACAGTACAAAGTAGTATGGAGCAAACTGGAGTTCCAGTTGAGGCTTCCTCGGGCAGCAGTCTACGGCCCCATCAAAACTTGGGACACAGTTGTAGGAAGAACAAAATGAGTCAATGAGTGTCGATGCCGATTGGATTTCTTATTTAAAGCTGAACTCCAGGCTGGAGAAAAAATGACCCTTGCAGTGGGGCGGCTTCCACACTGCAAAGGTTAAATGTCTATTTTAAAACTAAACACTAAAGGTGATCAGCGCCAGTAAGTGTAATGTGGAAATATGAGCTACCAAGCACTAAGGATATAACTAAATATCTGTAAAATGTGAAAAAACAATATTGTGCCGAGCTAATAATCATACATATCTAATAAATTAAAACATATTCACTTGTTATCATCACTCACTGGGTGGAGGTGAAGGTCTGCCTGCATTGTGTGATCATCCTTACCTGAGAGTTATATGCACATTGGCTGCGAATCATCTGAGGAATTTTTTGCACAATCACCATTGTTTGCGTTTGTTTTTTTCCTTGGGACTTTTTTTGCCTATATTGCTTTTTTGTATGTGTGTAGATATTTCTTATGCCTCATTTGTTTGAAGGCTCATATATGTGACTCATTTATATATGTTTTAATTTATTAGATATGTATGATTATTAGCTCGGCACAATATTGTTTTTTAAATGTCTATTTTGTCTTTGGGGGATAAGAATGAGCACAATACTTTCCTTATGTCTTGTTCACCTGGCAGCTGGCTCTCTGCTCCTCTCTCCAACACTCCTGAGATATGGAGGGGTCCTCGCCGTACCCCTGTACAACACAGGACCACTGATCCTGCATTGTACATGATGACATTGGAGAGCTGCGACTGGTCGGTCATAAAAGATGAACTGCTTAATGGGACCAGTCGTACAAAGAGGAGAGTGTTTTTAGGAGTGAGAAATGTAATTATTTCACCTTTTTTTATATCCCCATAGACAAAAAGAGCATTTATTCCTTGCGGTGCAGTGGGGACCCCACTGCAAGGGTAACTTTTTCTCCAGCCCAGAGCCCAGCTTGGAGGATGAGAGGATTTACCTTTGGAGTTCCCTAAATTGTAGACATGCTCTTGGCCTGTGGCCCATTGCATTTATATAGTTGCTGAAAATCTCAATGAATCCTTGTGTCCTCATAATATACAGTAGTAAGTAAGCCATGTATTACATTTAGTTACTTCAAGAATAATTAATATTTACTTAGAAATAATGATATGGCATGTCCTGTTGTGACTAAGCTTTAACATCTATCTGATCTCTTTACAGATCTGGCAGGTCTGTGTGTCGGAGATAAGATCGCCGAGGTGAATGGTGTTAGTTTAGAGAGTATAACTATGGGTAGTGCAGTCAAAGTACTCACTGGGAACAACCGTCTACGTATGATGGTGAGACGGATGGGAAAAGTGCCAGGGATTAAGTTCTCCAGAGAAAAGACCACATGGTAAGCAGAGCTGCCCTCTTCATTCACATCCTACCGGCTATTGTTAGCCGTTCTAGGTAACCAAAAATCACAATGTATCACCTCTATGGACCAAAGAGAGCGTGTCAGGTTCATTAGAGGATCACAATATTGAGTTTCACCACAAGGGCTCGTGTCTGTGTGAACTCTGACCGGATGACATGCAGCTTATATACACTTTGCAGTGTCACCTGGACCTTCCCCCTATACACAATTATTATTTAATAAAATGGAAGTAGGTTACCCATGGCAACAAGTCACAGATTTACATTGATTGCCCTAACACTGTAAACTGACAGGAAATTAAAGGAACCTATTTTATCTAAGTCTGTGAAGGTTCTCATTCCTCCAGGTCATGGTATATCTGTAAAAAATAGGTCAAGGCAACTTCACTTGCTGTACTTTTCTTGAAGACGTTTCACTGGTCATCCAACCAGCTTTCTCAATTCAGAATGACTTGTACAAAAATTATCTGGGAATAAATATGGTGAATGTTGCTCCAATCCACATAATCTGTTAATCGCAACCAAGTGTTGATTGCAAATGCAATAATTGGAGTCTAGGAGGTGTTATTAACCTTCCCAGAGAGAGGGGTTAAAACAGCATTGCATGTGGCAGACAATAGATGTCTCACCCCCCACCACCACCTCTATTCAAGCTTGGCTTCTCCATTTTTACATAAATGGCCTCTTTCACACCGCTTTTAAACCAGTCATCCTCCCTGTCTAGGATGCGTACTTGACTGTCTTCAAAGGAGTGACCTTTTTCCTTTAGATGTAGGTATACTGCCGAATCCTGACCAGAGGGTTTTGCTCTTCTATGCTGTCACTGTACCATACACTGGTGTAGCTGCTGTTTTGTTACACCGACATACAATTCTGAGCACTCCTCACTGCACTGGACTGCATACACAATGTTGTTCATAGTTCACAGCATAGAAAAGACTTGTTGTTTATTTTTTAAATGTTTATGTCTCCATTGGAGAGTTTCCCTTCCCTTTCTGGCTATGTAAACATTTATAAATCCTGGTTAATCCATGGCAGATTAGAAAAATTGTGCTTCAATTTTCCCCTGATTCCCCGAATCTTAAAGGAGAACTATGAGGCGAGTGCTTTTCACTCATCCTCATAGTTCTAGCCGACCTGTGACAATGAAACTGTCACAGGTCGGCTCAGTAGATCGGGAAGTGAGCGAACACATACCGGCGTTCGCTCACTTCTCGATCCTGTCACAGCACAGAGCCGTGACAGGGGAGGGACTGGATTCCCCCCTCCCCGCTCCGATCCTCCAGCACTGAACTGCGGAACGGACGGGGGAGGGGGCGGGTACAGCTCGCTCTCCCTCTAGATAGGCAGAGCCAGCTGTCACTCACGCAGCTGGGCGGATCCAGACATAATTGTCGGGATCCGCTTCAGCTGCGGCGTCTCAGTATATAGCGAGCTGTAGCTCGCGGTATACTGAGCTTAGGGTGACGGGAGGACGCTAGTTTGTGTCCTCCCGTTACCCTTAGGAGAACTATGGGGAAAAGCCCTAACCCCATGATTCTCCTTTAAAGTGACACTAAACTCAGGAGCTATAACTTAAAAATGCATTCAAGTACACTAACTTTTAACAAAAATGTAACTTTTTCGGCCATCACTTGGCTGTTGAGTGATGCACAAATAAAATACATTTTTGTTCATAGTTAAGGTCTTTGAACGCATTTTTAAGATTTAACTCCTGAGTTTAGTGGCACTTTAGGTATTGCAGATTGATTTACTTATTCCCAATTAAAATATTATTTGTATTTAGTAAAACAATAAATAAAATAAGCTTCTTTATACCATGACAGGCTGTTGTGAGAGACATCATAAGATGCTGAAAGATGCATGTAGCTCCCCAGTTACTGTTTGGAAATCTCCACCACAGTCTGTTAGATGGTGATCTGTCTTATAACATCTTCTTCAATCCAGGGTGGATGTGCTGCGGAAGAGGCTAATAGTAGAGAAGGGCAGCTCGACGCCATCAGACAGCAGCTCTGAGGATGGAATGAGAAGGATTGTTCACCTCTATACATCATCTGATGATACTTGTTGGGGATTTAACATCCGAGGAGGGAAGGAATTTGGACTGGGGATCTTTGTTTCAAAGTAGGTGTACTGTAATAATTACGAGAATAAAAAGTTATTTTTACTATTAACTACCAGCACTGATGCCAGGGAACCACGAAAGCGCACAGAGCCAAGTACATCAGCAGTTATATGTACTGAACAGCATGTGTCCATGCTCTGAATCCAATTCCTTTTTTTTCTTCCTTTAAAGAAAAAATATATTTCTATCAAGAAAATATTTTCGGAAAACTGAAAATCTCCTGTGCTGTGACCTTAAATATGCATATGATGTCAGTTAAAGCAACCTTGCAAGTAATAAAAAAAAGTGCTTGGATATTTTTTTTTCTTTTTAAATATAATTTGTTCCTATTTCATCGTATCTAAATTTTCCCCATGAAACCGTAGTCAGCAGGACAGGAAGTGAGGGTAAATCTCTCTAACAGACCAGGATAGAGAGTAGGAGTAAAAATCCTGATAGGAGTTCTAATCTTCCCCACCCCCTATCTAAAAGTAAACTCCCCATTACCCAGGATTCAAGCAAACAGAACTCCCAAGCACTCAGAAAAAAAATGTTTTTGCCAGTTGCTTGATAGACATGTGGACACTAAATGTATTTAGTTGCTAAGAAAATTCTCTGTTTACATCTTGCGGCAGCCAACGGCTAGATTCCGCAGCTGGTAGGTGAATGTAAACAATGGGCAGTGGGTGTGTGCAATATTATTATTATTATTCAGAATTTATATAGCGCCAACAGTTTGCGCAGCTCTTTACAACATAAGGAAGACATTACAATCACAATACAATTCAAGACAAGATGGTAAGGAGGGCCCTGCCCCTGAGGGCTTACAATCTAAAAGGGAGGGGGAAGTGATACATGAGGAGGTAGCTTTGTAGGGATTAATTGTCTGAGAACGTGATGGTTGAGCGGTTAGTTTGAGGTGGGATAGGCTTCCTTGAAGAGATTAGTCTTAAGGGATCACCTAAAGGCAGTCAGAGTGGGAGACAGATGGACAGGTTGGGGTAAAGAGTTCCAGAGGATGGGAGAGACTCTAGTGAAGTCCTGGAGGCGAGCATGGGAGGAGTTGACAAGGGAGCTGGAAAGCAGAAGGTATTTTGAAGAGCGGAGGGGACCGTTAGGATGATGCTTTGAGACAAGGTTTGATATATAGCCGGGAGCAGAGTTGTGGATGGCTTTGAGAAGAAAGGGGAGGGGGGGGGGGGGGGGTTGTTTGAGAGGTAATAGTAACTCTCAAGCAACCACAAACTATAGTTATCCGCCATCTACCAATCCCCATGGGTATCGGATAACTGGGAGTTTACTGTATGAGGTTTACTCATAGTTCTAGCCGACCTGTGACAATGAGACTGTCACAGGTCGGCTACTAAAAGCCTTAACCCGATAGTTCTCCTTTAAGGTGCACTTTTTTGTATCGTTTTTATTTATTTTGTTCCTCAATTTTTTGTGTTGCATTAAAAAAATTACAAAATAAAAAGTCTTTAATTTGTAAATAACTTTACATTGCTTTGTACCAGTATTGTAATTTTAGTGTCGTTGTTAGCAGGATAAATTATAGTCAAACATTTATGCTTTTTATATACATTTGTTTTTTAAACTAACACTGCTCAAAGTAAAAAAAGAAAAAGTGCATTTTTTGTCTGTAGATTGCATAGGAAATTAAATCATTTTTACAAGACAACAGACCCATAGTAGAAATGTAAAAATTGCTCTGAACCATAAAGGGTATACAGATAAAAGAGCTGAAGTGGTTAAATAAGTCCTGATCCAATCGTAATGCATTAGTTTCCTTATAAAAACTCACTATCCAAAAAACAGGTTCACAAGTTCCTGAGGATCAGGTCTTAGTGTTATATGGCACTGCACTTGGGCTGTCTTTATTGTCCTTAGGTAAAGCATTCTTCCCATGCAATGCACAATAATTTGTATGCTACACTGACCGATCCAAACCACTTACAGCTGGGTACTATACCCTGCAATGCCTGGATTTGCCAGTTGGCAACCCTGGCAAAAAAAACCCCAGGAGGATTGGGTTGTCCAGTAGTTTCTTGTAATCATCCCTGTTTAAATGAGGCTGCAAAATGTACATACAGTACCCTGCACTCCAATAATTCATTGGCTTACAGCGGTACAGTAAATAAATGCCATTTCACTGGACGTAGAATGTATAAATTATTCGGACTTTCTTGTTCTTTGTATATCAGCACTGCTTTTTTGTGCTACCAATCCAGTGCCGGGCATGGGCCATGAGGTTGGCACAATGATGTGTGTACATGTGTATGGCATTTTTTAATGTTGGGGTTCTTACTTGTGTGTTTATATGCTTTAGATAATGGAGCCTGGCAGAATAGACATATCTTCATGTACTTAAGATATTGAAGATCTTTCTACAGCTGCTGACAGGTATCTCATAGGACAGTTCAGTCATTTTCTTGTATTACTTCCCTATGGGCATGAGGGGGAAGGGAATGTTCCAAATCTGGCATTTGTCAGAAAGGCCGCAATGCCTCATGGCATAATCATTCTTGTATTACATCAGGAATAGGCAACCTCAGCACTCCAGCTGCTGTGAAACTACAAATCCAATGATGCCTCTGGGAGTCATGGTTGTGGCTGTCAGAGTCTTGCAATGCCTCCTGGAACCTGTAGTATTACAGCAGATGGAGTGCAAAGGTTGCCCACCCTCTGGGGCATCCACATAATGAGGCAGCCAAATAATGTAGGGTGAGTCCTGTCTACCCCTGTATTACATTCTGCATAGGGACCTTAAAGCTGAACTCCAGACAGATAACAAAAATGCTGCTATGCAATAATTAATGCATCCTTAAATGTATTTTTTAAATGTAAACATTGTAAGTTCATGGATATGACTTGGTATCAGCCTCTTGCAGTCCCTGTGCAGCAAAGTTCAGAGAGAGGGAAGTAGGAGCAGCACAAGCAGGTGTGTTACCGTGCAAGGAGCATACTGATAGGGAAAGAGCGGAATGTCAGATAGATAAGTTCATCAGTGTCTATCAGATCAGGTCCCCTCCTCTGCAAAGCAGAACTGTGCTGTGTGGTAGAGCTTTGTAAATCTCAAGGCTGGATGGACCCTAATCGTATATGTGTGTTTTGCATCTGTGTATTTGACTGCTTGCCTGTATTTCCGCTTTTATACTGTAATTAGCTGACTACAGTGCCAGCGCATAAACTGTACTTTTCTTATGGGCTGGTATAAATTCTGTTTTTTATTACTGGTTGGGCAGTGTCAATATCTACAACTTGACATAATTTTAGTTTTTTAAATGTGACTGCTTCTTATCTCCACTGTTTTCTTGAAGTATTACTCTAGGTTCCCCAATCCAAAGCAATGTGTTTACAGTTATATAGAAACAATTGTGTCTTCTTTTTTTGCAGGATTGATCCGGGTGGAATAGCAGAAGAAAGGGGTATTAAAGTCGGCGATCAGGTTCTTGGGGCCAATGGAATTAACTTTGAAGATATAAGCCATAGCAAGGCAGTTGAAGTGCTAAAGGGGTTAACTCACATCATGCTCACAATAAAGGTACCTATAGCCATCATTAATAATGGCTTTGTTATCTTAATTAACATGTGTCTTTGTTCCCAGTGGTGACATACTCCCTCTTGGTTTGTTCTTGTGACCATTTTCAAGAGGACCGAAAGTAATAGGAAATCCAAAATTGTACAGATGTCAAAACGGTGAGGGCAAATCTTTCAGTAGTGACATATTCTCTGGTGACAACTGTCTAAGGCCTTGTTTAGACCAGTGGCTGAGGGGCAGTAAACCCAGGCGGTTGTTCCGGGGTATTAAAGGAGAATTATGACCTAAGGGCAAATAAAAATACCCCTTACCTTGATTGTAGTACGGTAGCATTCTTCCTTTTTTCTAAAGTCGCAGCACATCACGGATAAAATTCTCAAAACCTGTAGTAAACGGCCATCTTCAGCCCTGCTCCGAGCTCCTTTCCTGTTAGGGGGCGCTAAGTCTGAAGTGAAAAGGCAGCAGCAAGAGACTGAAAGAAATAAACGGACTCAGCCTCCCTGCACATTTCAGTGCTCTTTCCCCTCTCTCATCAGCGATCCCAGTAATTAGGATGTCAGCGTCACACGGGGAGAGAGAGAGAGGATAAAGAGCCATCCCTCTCTCCATCATTTACCAGAAATGGGCAAGTCCATATATGGTGACTGATGTCACTAGGTATCCCTGTAGACTGGCAAGCATCCGATCAGCAGGGATCCCCAGTGACATCATTCATCATATATGGACTAGCCCATATGTGGTAAATGATGAAGAGAGAGAGAGGGGGTCCTTCTCCTATCTCTCTCTCCCTGCCCTGTGTGACGCTGACATCAATCAAATCACTGGGGATCGCTGATGAGAGAGGGGAAAGAGGGCTTTCTCTTCAGCATTTACTACAAATGGACAAGTCCATATTTGGTGAATTATGTCACTTGGGATCCCTGCAGACTGGCAAGCATCCGATCAGCAGGGATCTCCAGTGACATCATTCACCATATATGGATTTGCCCATCTGTGATAAATTATGAAGAGAGAGCTTCTGACCCGGAACAAGATCTTCTCAGTGCACTGCACACTACACGTGAAGTAGGCGATGCAGATGGAGAGGAGGAGGGAGGGGATCAAGGGCTACACAGCAGCGTGTCTGGAAGGCTGGCACAGAGGACGGGGACATGCAGGTAAGGAGAGAGCTGCGTGCACAGAGCTGCTGCGCATGTCCATATATTCGTGGACGCACAGCAGCTCTCAAGAATCACTGTCAGTCACAGTGACGAAGATTAGTGGGGAGGATCCCGACAGTATTTACAGATCTTTCCTCATTGCGGCCCTTAGCCCCGCCCACCATCTTAAAGAAGGGTTTACAGGCTTAGGGTGCATTTTAGCTAATAGTTGTAAATTACACAATTTACTTATTTAGCCTAAGGGATGCAATAATAAAGAAAAGATAGAACCCCATAGTTCTCCTTTAACGCTCTTTAGCCGCCCGCTGCAATGTTAGAATTGTGGCCGGACAGCACTGTATAGATTGCCGCAGCTATGAAGCTTTTCTGCTTGGTGAAAATTATACAGTATGTCATGTTGGCAGGCAGTGCCATCTGCTAAGGTGGGGAAGTTTTTTAATTTGTCAATGCTCCAAGCTCTTACCACTACCTGGGGAAGGGAGTTCCACTTTTTGCCGCCCTGACTATAAAGTTCCCCCTCCACAGTTTGGATTAAATCTTTCCTGCAACATTAAATTGTGTCCTCCTGTCCTTTTTGGGGACCTAAATTAATCAAATTGCTATCGCCCTTATAATTACCATTGATTAATTTGTAGACCGTGATTTGGAGCTCACCTGGTGACAAGGCAGCATGGAGATGGCTTCCCGGCTTATCAGGAAGCCGGGCGGCGGGTCATTACATGCCGCCTGGCTTCCTTAATGGAACTTCAACCATCGGTTTTCGGTGTCTGTGAGTACCGAAAAAAAATATCGGTACTCGATACTGAAAAAACGTTATCAGTGCATCCCTAATCTATGCTCCCAGTTGGCGTTGTTCTGTAAAGCAGTGCTAAAAGCTGTGAGTATATGAAACAGAAACCTTAACAACCAGACTTATTTACTATAACCAGATCAGTTGATAAGTCTTTCTATGTATGAATATCCTCAAAGCTTTTTTGCATTCCAATGTTTTTGGTCTTCAGGTACCTGTCCAACTTTTCAGGAAGGAGAGGTAAGCAGCTGTCCAAATGAACATGATCCATAATGGACCAGGGTCAAGATGCTTACACACCAGTATGCAGCAAACATGTACACAAGTAGAGGACTTGTGTAGGGTGAATGGGTGAATTACAGCATGAAAACCTGATGTCTGCAGCAACTGATCATTTAAACTATATGTTTAACTAGGCTTTGTTAAATCTGTAGATTAGGCAAAAAGAGCATTGAACTGAGAAACTAGTGAAACGCAGAGTATGTTTCCAGGTAAATGACTTGCCACTAATTACCTCCACACTACAATAATTGAACATCACCCAGCCTGCGTCTCAAGGCATTGCTGGGTCATTTACTTAAGGCTCTGTGTATTCAGTTTCATCTGTGAAGAGGAATGTATTATTCATCACGCAGACCTATCATGTTTTACTTTCTGCAGTCCATCTTGTGTTTGTAGGTATGTGTGTGTTTATTTCTAATTCATGGCTGTATTTTTTCAGGAGATGGGAATGTACCCTGCGTACAAAGAGATGATTGCAGAGTATTGTTGGTTTAATCGATGTAAGTACCTGAGAGCGGAGCTAGTGAGTGACGTTGTAAGGGGTTCCTAGGACAATCATTTCTCCATTAAAATGAAATGGCAATTTGGTAATATTCACAACCATTCACAACCTTTGCTTGGTTGCTTTTACATCTGTGTGTTTCCCAGTGTTTTTACCAGAGGCATGGTAAAAATCTATTATTTTCCTGATGCAGTGAGGAGTTGTACAACCAGCAGTCACGCATTTTTGTTCCGAGCGTTAAATACAAATTAATGGCCCTACAGAAAATAATGCTACCGTGTTTCCCCGAAAGTAAGACATCCCCCGAAAATAAGACCTAGCGCTATCTTCTGGGATGTCTGTAATATAAGACCTACCCCGAAAATAAGACCTAGTTCGGTGGTAGGTCTTATATTACAGACATCCCTGAAGATAGCGCTAGATCTTAAGCAGTATTACATTGTGGTACCGTGCGTTCCAGTGCAGGTGATCGCACTCCAGGCGTTAGGTGTGTTTGGGGAGCCATTGAAATGAATGGCATTGCAAGGCACCTCCCGCAGCAGAATTTGTAAGGCTGAAACTGAAAATGACTTTTTTTCCCCCCACCTTTTTATAAAAAAAAAAAAATTAATAATCGTTTGTATTATATTAGACATTTTAATAAGTTTCATGGATTTAGTTCCTCCTCTGCTGATTGACAGCAGGCAGTGGGCAGGTGCAATAGCCAGCCTGCTATTGGCTATATCAAACTGCAATAACCAATAGCAGTCTGGCTATTGCACACCCATATATTATATTGTACAGATTTCACCCACTGTGTCACTTCCTCATGTCACATTCAGCCACCTTCCCTGGCCCATTAAGCAGCACCCACACTCTATGTCCTGACCCGCCCCTTCTCTAGCATCTTTCTTGCAGAGCTGTGCTGGCACCCTGACAGCCAGTCTGTGTCCCCTTCGATGCCCTCTGCCGATACAGGCGGGGAAAGCAGTGGAGATCCAAGGGGACACAGACCACAGTGGGATCCCAGTGGGAAGGAAAGCAACTGAGCAGAGTTGCTGCAGTGGCAGCGGCCGAGGGGCGGTGTTGGCAGTATCAACAAATCGTTGACAATGATTATCATTATCAATTTATCATTATCGATTTTCATGAATAACATTGATTAGTTGTTGCAGCCCTACACTGCAGGATAAGGATTTTTTTTAAACTGACAGTTTTCTAAGCTGAGAAACAATAGATTTGAACATTATAATACAATGAAAATGAAGATCATTATACTTGTATTTAAACTTGGAAGGCATCTGTTCCGCACACCTGTTTAATTCAGTGATTCAGTACCAGGAACCATATATGTACTCCTGTAATTAGAGGAGAAACAGACCAAAAGCTGCTAAAGGAATGTAACTCCTTCATACATTTAGCCAAGCCCTGCCCATGGTCCTTACATATGACTTCCTTGCTGTTGGTTGTCAGTCCTGGTCTGCATACGTATGTATCTCTGCATTGACCAGGATAGGCTGGATGTAATCAAAGAACTTATGCTAGCCATGCCTTATGATGAGTGCTTCCAAACAACAGGGAAATCAAATGGCAAAGGTTATGCTTACACAGTTGCTTATGTTAGCAGAATATTTTAAATGTTCAGCTATTTTTAAAAATCAGATTTCCTGGGCCGCCTTCAGCAGGTCTGCATTCATTCTCTGTGTGTTACTTTAACATGGATTATGTTAAAATATATTTTTTAAATCTTACATTTCATATGGGATGTCAATAAACTGACTTTTTGTTATATTTCCTTCCATCCTTTGCCAGTAACCAACGGCCAATTGCAGCAGCTCTCTCAAGCTTCTGAAACCAGCTCTTCTATTTCTTCCTATTCCTCTGGTGTTCCTCAAGGAGCTGTTAATGGGTATCATCAAGCACTTATATCCAGTCCTACCATGTTTGAACCAGGAATGGTGGATGTTAGCATTTCTACAGAAGTATCACTTGACCCACACCTGTTGGGCAGGTCGGAGACTGCCATCCAGACAAATCTACATTCATCTTCATCTGTGTTGTCTGATTCTGATGGAGCTCAGCAACTGGGAAAGATGAGAAGTGAAAAGCAAAGAACTGTCCACCCACCTGTGCTTCTTAAAGATACTGCCATACGTTCAGAGAGCATGCTGGAGTCCCCGCTAAAGAGGAGACAGAGAAAGGAATTTGGAGGGGATTTTCCCACTTCTGAATCTCCAAAAACTGCATTGCTGTTGGCACTTAGCAAACCTCGGAGACCCATCAAAAGATCTCAGAGCTACCTCTCACTTTGGGGTGAGTTTTTTGTTTTTCGTGTGATTCCCTGATTCCCTGCATAGGATGCACATAATAAGTAAGCCATTGACAGAATGATCTCTGGTCTAATAAAAACTATATGGTTTTCCGATGAAACAAAAACTCTTAAATATTAAAGTTTTTACTGAGGGGTAATTGTAGCTGACTGTTTTAGATGCTAATAGTACCTAATGAAGTTCTTCCTTAAAGTACATCCAAAAGGTACCTGTATGACAGTCTAAACATGTACCAAATCCAGTTCATATGCGATGCACAAGCCACAAAAACGTCCTTTATCCTCCCTGCCTCAGGCAAATCCTCCTTCATTTATGTCTCACACATAACCCCTCCCAGACACTGCAGCTCACAGTGGGAGGATTTCAGTGACAGAGGCAGTACTGTCAATCCAGAAAGCAGTGGACAGGTCTAGGTGTGGCTAGGTGCTTATTGGCAAGCTACAGGCTTGTGAATCAGCAGTGGCAATACTGATAGCCACTCCTCCAGCAATAGCTTACCATCCCGCTGTAGTGCAAGCAGGCAAAGCCTACACGAGGGTGGCAACTCTGCTTTGTATTTAGAAGTAGTGCAGCAACATTACCACATCATCACGGTGAGCTGCATGGGACTGTAGTGGCATGTTTTAATTTTTATGTAGAATTCAACACAAGGAGGACATAATTCGCAACAAGGGGTTGCGTAAATGTAAAATATATATGTGTGTGTGTGTGTCTGTATTTAAGAAATAGTATCCTTCCGTATGTTAAAGAGAATGTATAGTCTTAATTTTTCATCAGTTGTAAATGACGTGGGCGTGATGTACCATGAATAAATTAATAATATCATAATTATGTTTTCATTCTTAAAAAAATTGTTTCTGTGTACCAAAGGTTATTGTGCATGTATATGGGGTGGAATGCATATTAGTTAATTACGTACTCAGGCCCTTCTTCTTTCTTTGCAGCTCTACACAGTAGTTCTGCTTTACTTTTCCTTCTCATATTGCAAGTCTATGAGGCGGCCAGCTCATCGAAATCAATGCACTCACTATGTGGCCTAAATCTTAACTGAACAGTTGCTAAACTGGAATGAATAGTGTTTGTAATGGCTTATCTACCCTACCTCTAGTGGCTAATCAACACAGACAGAGGTTTTAACTTTTCCCACTCTATTATCAAAATTGTCTCTGTTGCTTTTTAGGCATGAACGGTGGCGTTCCATCCTAAGCACATGGTGAAAGTGTTGATGTGTAGGCATTAGGTTGAGATCAGGCATGTGCAAGTAGGTGGAGCAATGATCAGAAAATGACAGTGACAGTAAAGCAGCCATATAACATGGCAGGTTCAACGTCCCCCTTTAATAAGGACATTTTAATTAACTAATTTTAAGGACTCATTTTAATTTCACATGTTCTTTTATGCAGAAGCCCGAAAGAAGAAGAAAAAAGAGAAGAAAAATTCACCCGAAAGTACTGGCATACAGCGTTCAAAAACCTTCATAAACCTGTTTTTTAAAGGTGGCCGTGGTAAACAAAATGGAGAGGGCAGCAAGGAGTCCTCCACACCTGATTCAAAGAGGAGAGCGAAATCGCCATCACCAGGTGAATCAGAAAAAGGTAAATAGACATTGCCACGAGCTTCTTCTACTGTGTCAGCTTGGAACATGGTCATACCACATTAGTACTGTACCTGTTTGTATCAGCAAGTTTCTTTAATGGGGTCTTCATCACAATTTCAGCTCTTGTGTCTATGTCTTGCTGTAAGCATAAACACCTATGCACAAGGTAAAATACATATGTATGCGCTATTATAGAAATATCACACTCATTGCGGCAAAGCTGAAATTTAAATTTGAATCATAGCATGCGGTATTTTCTATGTATCGCAATCTGCATAGCAAACTATTTCAAGGCTCAGGCTACAAGCCAAAGAACAGGAATGTGACGAGAAAATAAATACTGACTTATTCTGCAAAGACTGTATTGCAAGCACACAGATGGGAGGGTATAATAGTCATGCTATGCCCACTGACCTCCTAGGCCCTGTTACCCCAGATTTAACATAAAACTTTCAATATAATAGTTTGATGTTCCCCTCGAAGAGTCATTCACGATATTTCAGTTTTTGGTAGATGCTGGAAAGTTACACCACCTGACACTTTCTTATAGATTATCCATATTAGTGATATCTTTATGCTTAGGTTTCCACCTGCTATGGAAATTATGAGGGGTTCCCACTCTCCTAGGTGGATTTACTTTGGAACACAAAAGGTGGACAGCAAATCCTAAAATTATGAGATGGATAGGAACAAAGCCAGAAATATGGCAGGAACATATTGCTGTTGCAGTATCTAACATATATAGGAAGCCCAGGGCCGACTCAGCGTGCCAGGCTGCTCCCCTAACTAAGTTATCACTTTTTGGTGGACTGATTTTTGAAAGCTTTGATGCATAGTGCCTAATTAACTATATATTCTGAAAAAAGGGTGTGTTGTAAACTTGTTGGCACAGCTTTCTGTACCACTGTTGACTATAAGGCCATATGGAAAGCACCATGCCAAGTGATCTGTTTATGGGTTCTGCCATCCAGTGAATAAATACATGCACCTAAGATTTTTAAAAGATGTAAGTCAGAGTCTTTCATCTGCAGCTTCTATTGGTGGTATGTGGTAGTAAAGCAAAGTCTGATACTTTACAATATTGTCAATTAAGCAACCACCACTTGTTAAACAACACTGTTCATACGCAACTCTTGTTACCTATTACTTCCCAAAAATCAGGCAGCACAAACACCTGACCGGTTTAGTGTACACCAGGCCACTTCCATGAGAGTCTGGATCACAATACATTCTGAAATCTTAAAGGAAGCTACCTGATGTCCGTAAGGTAACAGCTTAATATGGAGTGGAGGTTGTCTCTGAATGGTAGGATGTGACAAGTGTTGGTTTCTTCATTGACTTGCATTCTGTAGCCAACCAGCAGAGAGCTCTGCTCCTACTCTAGACTTGATGTCAGAATGTTCCTGCTTATTCCAGAGCCTGCATAAGCTGACCATACACTTGGAACTTTTTCTTGTTCATCACCACTAACAGCGTGGGTGGGATATCCCCTCCTCCAAGCAATTGTATTCTGACAGTGGCTGGTGTGCAGCTGTCAGAATACTCAAACACTCCCTGCGGCTGATTGGCTGTAGTGACTGTTCAGCCAAGAATTTTCAGGACTGACTCCTCCAAAAAAGTCAATAAAAAAATGTGTATATAATTAAATCTTTGTTGTAGAATTTTTTTTATAGATAGGAAACTTATGTAAAAAAGAAATGTGTGAGCGTCTTTCTTAATACTTTATTTTTCGGCTGCATTTTTGGAAGTTTTGAACTGGCCCACATTACTGAACAGTGACTCTTTGCACAGCGCTAAGTCTGTCACTGGTAAGACGGATTTACAACCCAATCCAATTTACTTTTTCTCCTATGCTGATCCTGTATTTAATTTGCCTCAAAATCCTTTTAGATGTACTTTTAGCGGCTAATGTTTTGTTCTAATGTTTTGTTCAGAAGAGTATGAAAACCATTGTAGGATAAATCCACTTTTACAAAGAAAGAAGATTATAGAGTTAGAGCAACAGCTACTAAAAGTAAAGGTATAAATAGTTATAGTAAGTTCGGTGGAACATGGACCTATAACCCTTGTGCCGTTACAGTCAGCCTAATGCTGGTGGGAAAAGAACCCAACTGCTGCCCCTGAGTTGCAATGACAAGACTTTCCAGTTCACATCACATGGGAGCAGATATATAAAGGGAATTCCTCCTCAGGCTCTTCAGCAGGGCCCTGTTGCTTATAATTTTGCCTACATAACTACTTGCCGGGTAGTGTATTGGTGAGTTTGGTGTGGCTAGAGCAGGTTTTATTAATGCTGTAATGGGAGACTGTCAGTAGGCTGCTCACATAATAAAGGAGCTTCATGGGGTCTTTAACACCATGGATCAATAGATGGAGGTTGCAAAAAAACAGAAAATCATCTATTACTGGTGCTCCATTACTTCATTCCATTGATGTAGTTACATGCAGCATAATGTAGTTACATGCAGCATAATATGATGACAATTCTTATTACACAAAACCCTTTATATGACGTGTGTGTATTTATACTGTATAAAAAGAAAACATAAAGGAAACCCTTGTTGAGAGAAGCATGGGGTTGCCATCGCTGATTTCACCATCTGAAAATGCTAGATAACTGTCTGTCATTCTAATCTAAGGGCTTCAGTTCTGACTTTGAACAAGCATGCACCTCTGACTTTATCTGCTGTATGGTTGTTCCAGGTCAATGGCTCGAAATGTATTGAAGTAAGAAGATCAGCAATAATGACAGGCTAGAATTTTCATGATATCAACAGTGATGGCCTTTCAGTCTCTAGCAGGCTTCTCCAAAGGGTGATTTTCTTCAGACAGTTCAATGATTTAATTAATCCATGCTGTAATGTTGTTTCTGTTTTATCTAGTTAACATTGTTCAGAAATTTATGATCAGAAGCCAGAGAAAGGGTAATTAACTCGTGTGTGGAGACCTCTTTGGTTCAGATCTAGCAAGCATATAAAGATGCATAGTACCGCTAAGATGAATTGGTTGGACATGATGTTCCTAACTGGGTGCAGTTTCAAAGTGGAGTATTATGGACTGAAAATTGGAGTATTATGGACTGGAAACAAATCGGATTACAAGGGCCACCCTGAAAAAAAAATAAGATCTAACGTGGTGCGCCAGCAATCCTTGCCAAACCAACAGTAACTAAGAGCTTACATTTTACTGAATGTGTCTGGCTCTTCAATTCAAACATTTATAAGAGGAACATAACCAATTATATGTATAATGCAAGAATATCTTTAATTATTTTGTATGTAAAAATAGTTTTATATGTATTCATAGTGAATCTAGAGGCCAGGCTATGGACATTCAAGCATTTACATGTTCTTAACATGTAGTAAATGAACTTTACAACAAGCCCTGTAACTGCAGGTACTATAGGACAGTTCATCCTAAAAGCTTGTGGCAGATGTACTGAAGTCCTTAATTTTCTTCTCTCAGTAGCTCAGCTCACCCTACTTCCCCTTCCAGAGCTCCTGCTCTGTGTGTACATTAGAGATCATAAGGCTTCCGAGTCACTGCTGGAAGGAGTGAACAGGGGAGCTGAGCTACTGACAAATGCCTTGAAGATTCCAGTGCTCCTGCTGTGAACTTTGAGGATGCATTTTTCCACAGTTCCTGTAGTTACAGAGGTCAGTAAGGTCTTTTTCTAAACATCTTCAGTCTGGAAAAGAACAGTAATAATACCATTGAAAAAAATCAGACATCTGATTCATACAAAAGTGTCAGAAGCTGAAGATTGTATCTGCCAATAAAGATCTGCGAGAGAACAAATATTGGATTAAGCAGCGTAGTGGTATAGGTTCATTTTGTTTTAGCAAAGCTGTAGAGGCCATTTGCTGCTTGTAAATACCATATAAATACTGCAATTGTCTCAGCTTTGACTTCACTTCTGCTACTAATACATCTTTATATGTGCTTGCTCAGCGTTGATTTGATTGTTTGAAATCTGTATATTCTAAAGTAAGCTGTGCCCTCTAGTGTTTTTTGCAGTGTTTAATAAACCTGACATCATAGAGCTGCATGTGAAGGTCCTGATAAAGCTCCTGTGTGACCAATAAAGCCATCCTCCTCACCTTATGTGGTTAATCTTGAGTTTTGTAACTAAGCAGTTAATCTAATAGCACAGTTAGCAAGGACTTACGGTAATCGATAACAAATGTGAGATTTTAGACTTGTTAGAGAATATTTAGATTTTGACTGAATTCTGTCTTACAGTGGTGTGATAGATATATAGAATAAAGAAGCCTTTACTGTGTCAGTAACAGTCACAGCCATTTTAAAAGCAATATTCAAATACCCATTACTGTTGACCTGAGTAGACCTGAGAAAGTGTCCATTCATCGCTTTTGTATGTGCAGAGGCTTTTGATGCCCCCAGTAAGAGTCACAGCCATTTTAAAAGCAATATTCAAATACCCATTACTGTTGACCTGAGTAGACCTGAGAAAGTGTCCATTCATCGCTTTTGTATGTGCAGAGGCTTTTGATGCCCCCTTCTCCTTTCACAGATCACTTAAAACCTCCACCAAGACACAAAGCATGTTCAGAGGCCTTTAGGTCAGTGCACGGAAAAGTGTAGCACACAAGCCTCATTCAGCTCCTGCAGTCTGAGAACAGCTGCACTTCTTATGGTCATGGTCAACTTCTAGTGATTTTGTTTGCAGTGAATAACCATTGTGAACATGTGTACAGTTCCAGAAATGACTACGTCTATAGTGTGTGGTCCTGCCGATCACTGATGATCTGACCTTCTGTAGGCAAAGAACGTAATCGGCCATTCTTCTTTGGGGCACAAAGGGATCTGAATGCAATCTATAATGGAGACATGTCTATAGAGGACAGGCTGGCAGTGACTGAGGATATGGCCAGAAAACTGCTCAATGAGGACGAAGTAGCAGCCATCTTGCGTCACTGTAGAAGGGTATGTTTTCAATATGTTTCTTTGCCTGTAAGATACAGTCGTCATCCACTATGATAGTTTTGGATAGATGCTGGTAGGCTGAATGAGCTTCCTGTATCTCCCAGGTACCTTCAGATTAACATCTCCGAGCTTGAGATTCAAGATTCATCCACATCCTGTTGTCATTGCAATGGGGGTTTAACTTGGAAAATGCAATAGAAAGATTGCTGAGGAATGGAAATTTGTGACATCAGAGGGTCAGACCCATGGCTGGGAAAGCTGAAGTCTGTGATAAAAATTGTACATCAGTAGATGGTTAAGTCCACCAACATTCACCCATGACTAAGATCGATTTTGAGTGGATTGGTTCCCTTTGAGTGCTTTAGAAAAGTGTGAGTGGGCCTCACATTAAAAATATTTGTTCTGGTCATAACTAGGGATGCACTGATACCAACACTAGTATCGTTGCCGATGCCGAGTATTTGGGCGAGAACAAGTATGCTCCAATACCTAGCCCGATACTTCCGGTATCAGGAAGCCGGGCAGCACATCATTACACGCTAATGACAAGTGCCGAGAGAGCATGGAGCCGCCTTACCGGCCAATCAGCAACCCGGCTTCTTGATTGGTCAGAAGCTAGCTAATCAGGAAGCCAGGCTTTCTGATTGGTCGGGAAGCCGGCTTCATGCTCCCTCGTCACCTCATGACGAGGGAGCATGGAGCCGGCTTCCCAGCCAGTCAGGAAGCCGGGCCCTGATTGGCCAGAAAGCCAGCTTCATGCTTTCTCGTCACTTAGTGACGAGAAGCATGGGGATGGCTTCCCTGCTAATCAGGAAGCCGGTTGGCGAGTCTTTAGCCAGGAAGCCGGACAGTGTGTAATCAGGAAGCCAGGTGGCGAGTCATTACATGCCGCCTGGCTTCCTGAATGGGACTTTCGGTATTCTGTATCGGCGAGTACCGGAAAAAAGATATCGGCACAAAATATCGGCACTCGAAACCGAAATACCAGTTGCATCCCGATGCATCCCAATGCATCCCTAGTCATAACAATAAACCAAGCCATACTACCTTCTTCCAGAGGACGTTAGACAGTTAAAGGAATTTGCTTCCTATAGCCAACCAAGACAAATAAAATTAGTTTTTTTCATGATTGGAATAATTTTACTGAAATGGAAAATCTCTTTAACCTCTTGCCGTCTGCCCGTAGTAGAAAAACGGACGGACGGCACTGCTGCATCTGCGGGTTGCCGTCTCCAGACGGCAATTTTTTTCTGCTCGCGCGCGCCCCCTAGCGGGCACGCACGGGCAGAAAAGACCCGACAATGCACACACCCGGTACCGGGTGTCACACATATAGGCGATCAGCGGGTCCATAGCCCGCCGATCGCCTATATGTGCTCGTTCGCAAAAATTGGGTAATAATAAATGTTTTATCATTTAATATAGGGGAAACTGTTTTTTTTTTTAAAAATTTCGGTAATTTTTCCTTAATATAGTAAAAAAATAAAACCCCCAGTGGTGAATAAATACCACCAAAAGAAAGCTCTATCTGTCCCCAAAAAAGGGTATAAAATTCATTTCAGTACAGCGCTGCATGACGGAATAAATGTCAGTTAAAGTACCGCAGCGCTGAATACTGAAAAATGGCCTGGATGGGAAGGGGGTTTAACACCGCGGATGTCAACTGGTTAAAGATGAACTCCAGAAAACAACTAAATACACAGGCTGAAATTCAGTCACATTCAGGTGCTTGCACTGTTTGCATTTTAGGAAAATAGTTGAATAGTTTATTAATGAGCTGCATTGATATGTCTTTTATGTGTGCGTGGAGTTCAGATTTATTGAGGGAATAATGTCATGTGGTGAGGGTGCCATTAGGGAGTCACACTCATGACTCCATAGTGGAGGATTTGGTGTTGGTTACCTTTTTAGGAATAAAGTGAAGAAATATGCATGTGACTGTGCGTTTGACTGTGGGATTGCTTCCCAAATGCAATTTAAAAAGAAGATTCTGTTTGCTTTGGTGTAAGAAAAAGACAAACTTTAGTCCATTTATTATATTTTATATGTAGATCTGAATGACGTTTTGTCATTTTGCTGATGGCTTTTTTTTTTTTTTTAAATGTGTTTATTTCGCAATTTTTTACCATTTTTAATACAAAAGAAAATGGGGTACACATAGCCTCAACACAACGAACACACAGATTGTGGTTGAAACAAATATACAACACATGCACACCACCACGGACCCAGGCTTGCCTCCTACATCATTGTGACATTTCTTACTCCTTACCGGTAAACCCCTTAAGAATGGGAGCCGAAATGACTGCAGATGTTGCCACTCAGATCAATAGAGAAACATGATGTCACCAGACATATTGTCACAAGGATAGCAATATTTCATGGCCATGCAGAGTGTAACGCCTGAATGGACTGAAGTAGTGTGGATCGCAGCTGTGGAGGCTTCTCAGGTATGGAACCCTGATTTCACTCTCTCAGTTTTAACAGAGAGTTAGGGTTCCTCGCATCACAGCCTCAGGTTAAATAATAAGGTAACGGAAAAGGTTCAACTACGCAAACTAGGGTTGAGGAGCGGTAGTAAATGATAAACGGCCAATATGACTGCAGGAGTCCACAGATATGCACATCTGAAGCAAGTATAAATCCCCCCCTAGCAGCTTAAGCCTATGCAGGCGATACTTTAACAGTCCAGAATGACAAGAGGGTGCAACTGCACTCAGTACTTGCGATTTGTGAAAACCTGGCTCAATGGGAGAAGCAGGGGTTCCTCGGAGGGGTCCGGATCCGGTGAATGTTGGAGGGCACAATCTGGAGGCAAGTGGAGGGTCCCAGGAGACAGCAGGCGTTTCTGCTCAATTCAGGAACGCCATGCTGTCTGACCTGGCCGTTTAAATAGGCCTCCGTTTACCAGGAGGAGCCGAGCGAGCTCTCGGCGCACTTCCGCGTTCCACGTTGGAACGCACGCGGTCCCGAAACCCGGAAGTGAGGAGCGTGCGCTCCACCCTGGAACGCAATCGGCCCAGCGAAGGAGCGGCTGGCTGCCGCTTCCTCCTCCCCTGCCCGCAGGTGACGGCGGCGGCCGTTACACAGAGTCCCTTCATCAGACTCGATATCATGGAGCCCGATAAAGGGATCCTGCGTGGCCCTAAAATGTTGCCATCCTTGTGACAATATGTCTGTGCATCAATAAAGACATTCTTTTGGACACATTTCTCTGGTGTGCTGGTGACATCTTGTTTCTCTATTTCTCAATAGGACGGCACACATTTTTTCCCATGCAACAAAATAGCCTTATGAGCATAGAAACACAACAAATGGAATAGAGTCCTCTCTGCAGAATGGGAGGAAAATGGTTCCACAATACCCAACAACATCACCAATGGGGTGAGAGGGAAAGAGATACTCAGCTTACTCTGTAATAGGTCATAGACAAGGTACCAATATCCCCGAATGCTTGAATAACACTGAAAGATGTGAAACAATTCAGCAGGTTCGAATGCACAATGCGGACAGCAGGCAGTGTCGTCTGATGGCCTATTTAATTCCTACCAGTAGGTGGTGGCAAAATTACACCTAAGCAGTTTGAATATACACATTGTCCTTTTTATACTTGCAAAGTGTGCTTGTTCTTTACTGAGGTTATTTGGAATGCTGTGTTTTATTTAGATTTAAACAAATATTGTTTATGTGGTTTAGTTAGGGATGCATACTTAGCTGTAAACAATATTGTTAGCAGGCTTGAGAAACATGTAAAGTGACAGTGTAACACTATGGCTACTCCAAGGTTACACCGCTGTGTGTTACGTCACTGAATAGACTACACAAATATTGCACATGCTCAGTAATTATTTTTCATGGCCACCTGGACAGCAGCATAATTTCAGCACATTGTAAAAGTTTTTCTGTGCCCAAGATATAAGTGACATTAACTATGTGCAGGCTTTGTAAAATACATAGACATCTAACAACATCTAACAGTAGGTGCTCCCTTGCATGCCTTGCATACAATAATTACGTGACCATTGAAATAGCTTAAGTCATTGGTGGGTCAAAACAAAGTGATGTTTTTTGTAGCCTCATGGTAAATATTTGTGATTGCTCAGACATCTCCCATCTTTGCAAAGCCACTTTATTTGGTTGACATTTAAACTATACAAGACGTTATATAAAAGTCACAAGCACAGACACCTGCTGTCATAATACAGTCCACTTTCCATTTACTCTCTGGTTCTTCTCTATAGACATGGTCCACCTATTGTAGTTACTTACAGGCGTACTGACTTTACTTACAGTATATTGAGGAAGGAGGAATTGAAGATCTGGTAAGACCATTGCTTGCCATTCTGGACCGTCCCGAGAAGCTCCTCCTTTTACGAGATGTTAGGTAAGGTAACTAAAGAGCAAGACTGCATTGCAGAAATCTTTTTAATAAAGGCTCTATTTCCCATTTTCCACTCTTTCTTCTGTTTCCTCTTGGTTTAATATTGAATTTAATGTCTCCTCATCATCTAGAGTTTTAAAATTCTGGGTCAAATATTGTTTTTTATTTTATTTTAATTATTAAAGCATTTAGTTAATAAATATTTTGTGTATATATCACAGTGTGTTTTAAGTAGTATAAAAATTAATAAATAAATCCATAAATAAATAAAAGGTTTTATTTCTATTACTCTGGTATTGTGAGGGGTGCAGATTTTATGTTTTTTACCGTAGTAGCGTAAGGGGTGTAGTGTGCATGTGATTGTGCAGCTATAGTGTCAGCGTTCATGTCAGTACAAGTGTGCAAGTTTTATTTTTTTTTATTGTGGTGTATAGGGTACAGGATTTGTCGGATTATTGTCTGTTTGTGTGGGTGACAGTGTTTCCGGTAGGATTAGAATAATTGAAAAAAAATGTTTCATGTTTATTATCGTGGTAGTGTGATAATTAGATTTGGATTAATTGTCCTCTCTGAAGTCAAAATGTATGCAAATTCAGATAGGAAGTCACTCGCACTCCAATGCAATGCCAAGTCAATCCCTTTACTGACTAAGGTAGTGTAGCATCTTACAGTAAGGTTTCGGAACCTGTGTGGTCCCTTCTTCAGGCAAATGGAAAATGGCAGGCAAAAGGCGCACTATTGTTTCTGGGCTCTACTACAGTAACCACAACAAATAACGCACACATATATATATTTATTTTTTTACTAGTTGGGCCAGTTTTATTTTGCTAATAAAAAAAAAGTAGGAGATATCTATTAACATTTACCACCAAATTAAGGCCCAATTTGTCCTGAAAAATAAAGAACGTGTAATTCACCAGGATACACTAAGTAGTTGCAAAGATATTCAGTTTTACTAACACTTGCCAAGGCTGCATAACTGGGGTAAACAATAATGCAATAATGGTTTTAGTTGGGGGGTATATATAGAGATTATGGGCAGATTAAAGGATTCTTTTCCTTTATAATTTAAGTGGGAGTTGGAAGCTATGGGTATAAATACTCCTATTCCCTCCCTTACATTTTACAATTGGGCCCAGTAGGGGGTGAAATGCACCAAAAAGAGGTGCTGGGTAAAATGTTTTCTATAGTGCTGGAACAATAAAGTTGATTTTATTTTTCAGGAGTAGTGGTGTGAGGTTTCATTCATATTGTGCTAATTTCAGTACAAAATTGAAATATAACATTGTATGCTAGTGATAGGTAAAGAACTGTAAAGAAGTATATTAATGGACTGCAGCCAATATCTGCCTGTTACCCATAGTATGTTTACTGTATGTATTTTGCAGAGCGTTGATTGCACTCACAGATCTCGGGCGGTTTGACAGTATGGTTATTTCCCTGGAGATGGAAGCATACGATGCCCTCAAGAACAGATCAGGTGGGGCACTAAAAGTGTCAGTGGATTTTTGAAGCATGTAATCACCCTCTGGATTCTTATGTCCTTAAAGCACTCTGGTGGAGAGAACTCCATACTAAATTTCCAACCAGCTCTTGAACCATTATGGCCAGATGTTACTCTTAACCTGTTGGTGCACTTACATTTATATTAAAGTTTCACACACACACACACACACACACACACACACACACACACTCACTACATTTAATCCTATGAAGAGTTTGTACTCCCCAGGAGTATAGAGTGTGCACAGTGCATGTATGGGCCCAGTACCCAAGATTCTGAAACGCGGTCCTAGGGCCACGGTGATATCTCATTGGATCATGGATTGGTGAGTATATATGAATTGCAGAGTGAGCTGGAGGCAGAGGGTGTTACAGTGTAGGGGTACAGGTACACTTAAGGCCAGTTTTAGCTAAGCATTTTTTCTTTAAGGGTTCATTTACACCAGATCGCAATGCACCACAGCACACGTACATGTACTGCATAGCACATATGTTGCAGCGCACGTCAGTCCATTCTAAATGAATGGTCAGTGTAACACCTCAAAACATGAAAATTTAGGGCATGCTGCTTTGTTTTTTTTGTAGTGCAACAGCACAGGGAAGTTTTGGTGGTGCCTCTGAGTGCCAAAATTAATCAAAACTGAATGGCAACACAACACACCACTACATGCATGTCCTTACCCAATGTATCACTTGCAATCTTTTTTTTTTTAAAGCTCAGAACTGAATAGAAGCAAAGTAATACCACTCCTGCTGCCCTGCAATCATCTCTTGCTATGTGCCTCATTTCAAGCAAAATTATCAGTTTGATTTTTCATTAAGCTGGCCTAAGCTGGTAGTGAATTTGATATGTTTTGTTTTTGTTTTTTACATTTTCTGCATATTTAAAATAACTCTTCCACTAATTAACATTTTTGTAACCTAAGGCTAAATTAAATTCACAGCTGTCATTTCACAGTCCACCTGCCCAAAATGGTGCAAAGTCAAATTTTTGCATCACAAAAACATAATCCATGTCACTTTGCAACAAACTATACCTGTTTTAACTTCCGTGAATTTGTGTCAATTGTATTTTTATAAACTGATGCTTTATATCTGTTTTTGTACTGTGCATATTCACACACTATATAGTCTTTGGCTCCAAGTGCAAACTTGGGGTAATCATTCACTTTAAATTTGCCTGTGGTGACAACAGTATATTTTACAGCATACATGTCTAAAGTAAGGAGAATATAAACTTTCCTTTGTGGTCTACTAAACAATAACGCTTAAGATGCTCAATTAACCACCTGCACACCGCTATTTCACCCTTAATACGTTAAGTAATCATTTGCATTAAACATGGATTCTTGGTCTGCATCTATTGCAGTGCATATTCAAGCTGACGATGCATCAAAGTGATCCTCTACAAAGACTTGGATGCTGATCCTGGTTTGAATCTGGGCAGCTACTGCAGTAATAGAAGTCACTCCAGTAGGAAAATGCAAGGTGGAGTGCAAATATGTTACAACCTGGTCATAGAACACATATAAGAATGTTTTGTTCTTTACCCTGAGCAGCTTTATTATATATATATGTATTCGAGAATACATATATCAAGCTGAATACGTTCAGCACATAACACTACAAGTTTTGGAGTCCCTAGAATCTAATGATTGAAAGCTGGGACACAGTGTGATGAAGTGACTTGTCCAAGGTCACAAGGAGCCGACATGAGGATGAGATCCTAATGTCTTCAGGAAGTCTCCCATGGCTACACTGGCCGTCAGAGTACTTATCCTGCAAGTGGTGGCTCCTTCACCGGTGAAGGCTGACATGTGGATTCGAACCCATGCCTTTCAGGAAGTCTCCCATGGCTGCACTGGCCGTCAGAGTACTTAACCTGTGAGCTGTGGCCATTTCACCGCTAATGGCTGAATTTTGCTTGGTTAAGAATGGTGGGAGTTCATGCCATGCCATGCCATAAAACAAATAAAATCTATAAAGGATGTTACAATAGGATGTTACAATAGACCTAAGCAGGTGGATTTGGGGTTACATCTATAACTTTACTATGTATCTTTGGATGCAAGTTCAAATCTGCATGGAGCTATCTTCTTTTTCAATTCTACTATAATGATAACAGTATAGCAATAAGAATGGGAATCGAACCTCTGGCAGAACAGAGATTATTTTTTAAGACAAGTTACTTAATGCCTAAGCTAGCTCTTTTGATAGATCTGACCACCAAAATGTAACTCTATTTTAACCTGCAAGCTTTTAGGAGATTATCTTTTTTTTGGAGGGGGGTTAATACATGTTCAGAGTTCAAACCATGCTATAGTAAGTCACATATAATACAGGTGAAACTCGAATAATTAGAATATCGTGCAAAGTTCATTTATTTCACTAATGCAACTTAAAAGGTGAAACTAATATATGAGAGAGACTTATTACATGCAAAGCAAGATAATTCAAGCCGTGATTTGTCATAATTGTGATGATTATGGCTTACAGCTCATGAAAACCCCAAGAACCCCAAATCCACAACCTCAAAAAAGTAGATTACATGCAATCAATAAAACAAGGATTGTACATAGAACAGTATCGGACCTCTGAAAAGTACAAGCATGCATATGCACTCAGTACTTGGTTTGGGCCCCTTTTGCAGCACTTACTGCAATTACTTTTGCACGATATTCTAATTATTCGAGTTTCACCTGTAAGTTAATGGAGCTTACAAGCGAGCACGATGTGGATTTAAACCTTTACCAGTATAGGTATGATAGCTTTGAGTACAGGTTTTTTCAACCTGTAAGCTTTCTTTTAATTTCGGTGTCCAAGCAAATGTAATTCTCTAGTAGCATCAAATTTAGCACAATCTCTGCAGGGAAAGTACACATGCCTATTTCTGGTATTTTTATTGTGTAATTAATTCTGGGGGACCTTTGCTTTGGGAGATGCTTATGTTGCTTTCTAGAATACACAGCCCTTACCATCAAAAATATTCCAGGTCCATGTCCCACCATGAGCCTAGTTGACTTTATGATGCCATAGGTTCTCTGTTAAAGATTCCTGCTGTACAAGTGCGCAAGATATGCCTATATTTTATGGCATTGATAAAGGGTGGAGAGACCAAAAGTAGAGAACGCTAATGTCCTTCATGCACAAGCTGTTCACCACAGAATGGAAGAGTTCCAACAATCTTCACAATATCCATTGAATTTGACCTTGTCTGGGAGATGCAGTCTCTACCTCTCTAATCCTAAAATTTAACTATCTCAAGGAGCAATGTTTGCCTTAAGGAATTGATAACTGATAAGGGAATGAAGGATAATTAAAAAGTTGCCTTTGTATACTCATTTGTAGTTGACTTATCAACTTTAAAAATATGAAGCTTGATCTATAAATGCCCAGCACTAGTTGATGCTCCAGCCATGCATTACCTCATCAAGCAATTGTCTCCTTCCAAGATTTATTAGAATGAAGACTTGACATCGGCATGAGTAATGGAAATCTGATAATGAAAGATGTCTGCATACCTGATATATATTGGCTTTGAAGGCCCAAACTGACAAAATAAACACGGCTGTTTTATTGCACAGAAATACTGCTTTATCTATGGCTTTGATAAATAAACACTTACAATTTTGTTAAAGATAACTATGGAAAGAAAGTATATATATATATATTCATCTGGCGTTCTTCATTAATTGCTCTCTTGTGAGCATGTAACATACCATCCACAGACTCATATGAGCATTTCATATCAGAATATTTTTTTTATTTAATTAGGTCATCCATGCATTGCATGCAGTAAAAAGCTTTCTCTACATTCTCTACAATTCATACCTTGTTTGTGTGTCTGGCTATCCTACCACCAAGGAGAAATGTCAAAAATGTTCTTTATACCAATTCTAGCAATGAGACACAGTGAGCGAAGCAGACAGAAGGTTACACCAAGATCTGCTTTTTTACTGAACCCATATGCGGACAGTATTTATTTACATATCATATACAAGTACAAGCACATTAAAACACACTCTCATACTCTCATTCTCTCATTCACCTCTGTAAATATAGGCATTGTGGGAAAATTCCTCTACAAACTTCACAATAGATCTTTGCTTGTTTCACTGAGATCTTTGCTTGTTTCGTATTACTTTTTATTGCACCAGAATCTTGGCAGCCTGATGCTCTTTAATCTTTGAGAATAGATTACATTACAAGCAGCTAGAAAGGTGAATGAGGGCTTATGTAATGCCCATTGTTTGGGCACAGGTACACTAAAGTCTGGCACAGGTTCACTTTAATGTGACAAAGAGCTCCTTTTGACTGTCCAACCCTGAAGGGCTGCATTTGTGTAGTCACTCCAAACCAGTCACCTAGCCATTGTTCTGCTTAGGCTTTTCTTTTTTTTTTCTCATTCCACACTTAAACAGGTTTTCCAGTACAAATTAAAATCTAACTTCTACTTTTGACCTCTCGCATCAACACAAAGAACCTTTCTACCCCCTTTGATTTTTCCAAAGGTCTGGTGCTGCAGTTGGACATTGTACCAACACTGCCACTGGAAGGTGAAATCCTCAGGTCTAGTCGAGTGCTCTGATATTTATGCAGGACAGTCCTTGAGGCAAATTTAAACAAGGGTGGTAAAATGGGGACAGTTGACAGCACAAGTAGCTAATGTTATATTATCCTAAAGTATAGTTGAATTAATCTGTAGAATATTCATGAATAAGTATGTAATTGGTATGCGAGATTATTAGAAATGGAATTACGGTGGGAGTAATATTCTCAGGATCACTTTCCTGCCTCCTGCCTACTAACATTCTAGGTAACAGGAGGAAAATCCTGACAAAATATGCATCTAAAACACACAAAAATGCGTGAAACAATCATAAGATAACTGACACATGCATTTTCAACTGCAAACATTTTTAAATGAGGCCTGACAAATCTCTCCAGCATTATATATATATATATAAGGCTGAGTGATCATTTAATTTGCAATGCAATTTGAATTTCCAAGCAGTAACATAATAGCATAATGCAAGTGTCACTGCACAACACTACTGTAAATGAAGAATCTTAAGTCACTCCATATAATGTAATAATAGTAATATTGTCTTCTTGTTATCCAGTGACGTCTCCTGCACTCAGACCTGCCAGATATGACACACTTCCAAGGAAACATCTGGTCACTCCCGTTCCAGGTCAGTAATCCTTAAACCAGTATATTCTTTTTTCTCTTTATCTAATTCACCAGCAAATAACACTTCAGCTACAAGGCTAACCAGTGATGACCCATGTAGTCCTGGTGTGGAGCTGTACCAAGAATGACCATAAGAGGTCACAATTGGTTGTATGTAGCAGAGTGTTGCTGATACATTAGTGGTGTAATATGAAAATAATTTACCTTGAATCAATAGAGATGAGTAGTAAAAAAAAAACTTTTAAGTTTTATATGCATTCATGCTCCCATAAAATCCTTTTGGACCAATGCACAATATTTAGAATTTTTAGTTATTAGTTTTAATGTTATTTTTCTTCAGGTTGTTAAAGTGACACTAAACTCAGGAGTTAAATCTTAAAAATGCATTCAAGTACCTTAACCATTAACAGAAATGTACCTTATGTGTGTATCACTCGGCTGTAGATCCTCAAATCATCTCTGAATTGGTGCTGACACTGTCCTTCCTTCTGGAGGGTGGCTATTTTGTTCCCCATGGTCCCTGTGTGTGTTGTAAAGGGATTACAACCACAGTACATTATTATTATTATTAGGGATGTACCGATATATCAGCTGCTGAAACATATCGCCAGAAAATGGCACTTTTGGCAAAATGCCGAAAGTGCCGTTTTCTGGCTGATACAGCAGTGCATCCGTTCTTTCTCTCCTCCCCGCTGGGAGCTGCTCACCTCTCTCCTCACCCGCTGGGAGCTGCTCTGTGTCCCAGCAGGGAGGAGAGAAATTGTCACAGGTGGCTGAGCGCTGCGCTCAGCCTCCTGTCACAGATCAGAGGAGAGCAGTGTGGGCAGAGACAGCTCAGCCTCCTGTCACAACTGTCAGGAAGGAGAGTGAGGTACAAACACTCAGCGATCAGTGATCACTGAGTGTTTGTAAATAATTGAGGATAGAGTATGGTTACTATATCCTCAATTATGAACGAATGGGAAGTGATCGACATCACCTCCTGTTCATTCATAATTGTAGTTATAGTAACCATACTCTGTTCTCATGTTATGAATGAACAGGAACACTCATAGAGGATTCCTGTTCATTTATAACAGGGGCTGCAGAAAAAGAGATTGAGGACTTTGTAAGTGGTTGTTAATATTTTGAATGTTATCCTTCGGGCTATTGGAAGCCAGTGGAGGGATTGCAGAGGGAGGTTGCAGACACTAAGCGGTTGGTCAGATGGATGAGTCTAGCAGCTGCATTCATGATAGACTGAAGGGGAGATAGCCTGTCTAGAGGTAGGCCAATGAGGAGGGAGTTGCAATAGTCAAGACGAGAGATAACAAGGTTATTAACTGACCAAGAGAGCAGGTGTAGATAGAGAAGAGAAGGGATCCAAGGACAGAGCCTTGGGGGAACCCTACGGAAAGAGGCTGAGGCTACATGCTAGTAAACTAAAGGGGTTATTCCCTATGCCGCCGCGGGCATCTGAGTAAATAATCGACCCGACGTGTTCGGCTATTCACTACAGCCCTGAATGGCTGAAAACCACCATACATCGGCTGGCTTCATCCCCCTTCACTTCGCTTCGGCTAAACGGATATGCCTCGGCTCAGCTGAGCTCTTCGGCTGCTGTACGGGCTATTGTTAATAACCCGTACAGCAGCCCTTTGGTTCGGCTGAACTGAAGGGCTCCAGTGGCCGAAGTGAGCCGAAGGATTAGCCGAAGCTTCTTTGGCTCAATAGTGAATAACCCTCTAAATGTTAGATCAATCATAGTCCATCATTGGAGAAAGCTTGGAGTGGTGTCTACTTTACAACACACACCGGGACCATGGGGAACAAAAGTAGCTACCCTCCAGAAGGAAGGACAATGTCCACCAATTCAAAGATGATTTGAGGATCTACAGCCGAGTGATACACAAATAAAATAAATTTTTGTTAATAGGTAAGGGGCTTGAATGCATTTTTAAGATTTAACTCCTGAGTTTAGTGTCACTTTAAGTGTATGTCCAGCCAAAAGTTATATTTTTATTTGGATAGAGTGGGAAAGGATTAGAATTCCTGTCAGGTTTTATTGCTCCTTTCAATAAATGTTCCTTCACTTATTGTCACGGTAACTACAATTTCAACAGGGACACAGACAGCATTTCTGTTGATATTGCTCCTACAATTCCATACTTGCAAACAATCATAAAGTGCCAAAGCAGCAACTGAGAACAGCTTCTGTGTAACATCATAACAGGGAGAAGGAGCCTGGACTTTATATTCCCAGAGACTGTTGTGTTTTGGGTGACCACCCCTCTAATTGTACTGTTGATCAGCACAGCCTAAAGTGAGACTTTTACAGTGTCTGTGGCTGTTTATTGATTTGTTTTTCATTTTAGATCATAGAGGAGCTTTCCAACTTAAACCAGTAGATGATGTGAATGGCAGCAAGTTACTCCTTGGGGAAATGGAGAGGCTACAAGTCTCAGATCCGCATGATGTCAAACGAACGTATTCTAAAAACTTTACCCCACTTGAAGATGTGCCAGTCGATTCCTTTGATGCCCAAAATACCACTGTGAAGAAGTCTTCCTCTAGGCCAGAGCGGCCAAACTGGCTCCTTACTGAACCCATCAAGAGGTCATCTGATTTGCTCAATGATGGCTCCACATTGGGAACCAGTGACAACAAGTCTTTGCCTACAAGGAGTAGAAGGGACCAAAAAGATAAGAGCGAGGATTCTCGAGTGCCTAGAACTACACGCAGTAAATCTAAAGAAAGAAAGGTTGAGGTGTATTCAGTCATCAACAAGGCTAAGAAATCCAGGCCAATCTTGTCTCAGATCTTCGGAGGGGTCACTCTGAATCAATCCAACATTAACATCAAGCTAAAACCTATACGATCAGACAGCAATCATGTAGAGCCAGAGCAGGTTTCACAGAATGGCTTTAGTGAGGACAAAGAGGAGGGATATGAGCTGGTAACTGTGACAATCTCCAAAATGAAACAGTCTTTAGGTGAGCTATAGGACAACTATTACACATAATATGGTGTTCTGATTGTTTATGTGGTTAATACATGTAACAATAGCATTCACCCCGACTTCAACTTTTACATTTAGAACCTCTATCAACTTTTAGTTGCTGTTTGTGTCCCTGTTATGGGATACTTCCTCACTTCCATTTGAAGGGTGTCTGACAAACAGATGTCATACTTAACAGGAAGTAAGAGGACATGGGCAGCAATAAAACCCATTTACTAGTAGAATGAGGAAGGTGTAGATTCTCTGTTAGGATTGTATTGTTGTCTAAGTCTCCATGAGGGTGACTTCCCTCACTGTCCAAGTGACAGACAGGAGCGCAAGAGAAATCTTCTTTTTGAGGATACAGAGACTACATAAAGACGTTCCGACCATTTTTCACGCCATCCAAAACTAAAAATGATTTTAGCTAGAGTATTGCCTATTTTTTTATTTCACATGCCCTGGGTTATGTTTTTTTCTACATTTATATGCAGTCCAAGCTGTTCAACAAAAGTTACTGTAACAGAAAAAAACTTATAATGTCAGTATTTCTATCATAAACATTTATTTTCATTTAGCAACAGTACAAATATGAGTGGTGCAAAGAAATGTATAGCAACCGGTCGGGAATTGAATGCCATCTGCCCACTCTAAGATGCAAGGAGCTGAATTGCAATTGGTTGACGTGGGTTAGTGCACACCATCAGTTGCACAAATGTAATAAGTTGTTCTGCAAGGCAGTGATAATATGTTCGTCCACCTAGGAAGTTATTTTTTCACATGTTCCAATTTATTTCAGGCATCAGCATATCTGGAGGAATTGAATCCAAAATACAACCAATGGTGAAAATTGAAAAGATCTTTCCCGGAGGTGCAGCCTTTTTCAGCAGTGAACTCCAGGTATTATATATGTCTTGACCCTAATAAATTAATAAAATGTGAATGACATTGCACCCATCAATGCAAACAGAGCACAACAGTGCTTCCTATATTATGCCATCAGCACTGATCTTCCTTTGTCTTAGTACAGCGTGTCCCAAGCCGCAGGCCCTGGCAGCAATGTTTACACTGGAACTAAGCAGTCGCCATCGGTAGTGGACGATGAATGTATAGTTCGGCAGTTGGCTGGCAGTGAAAGCTTAGTTACAGAGTGGCATGGGTCTAGTGGTCAGTGGCATGGGTCTAGTGGTCATGTAAGTAACTAATTATACCAGACAGTTTTAAACAGCCCCTTACATTGGTGCCTTGTGGTAGGACACTATGCAGAAAAGGTCTGCTCACATCAGTTCATAAGGCAACAGTGTCTGTATGGTGCCAGCACAGACATTTGCAGTTGAAAGACTTCTGTGAAAAATTTTATCTGTTGCCATGATGCTGAGGGCACAATATATTTTAACATTAATAACCCAATTACAAACTGTTAAATACGCACATCCACACTAGAATTTTACAGCTACTGTTGGCTGCTGGATCAACCTGTACAGGTTGCAGATTAATGTGCCACCAAACAGACTGATTAGGTATGGCACTGGAAGAGACAGCGGCACTTGGCCAGCGGTTGGGCAAGTAACTATTGACACTACTATCATCTTTCTGCCACTTGTATATATATACCTGGACACTTACCACCATTTTAAGGGGTCACTTTAATGATATGGTTCTCCTGGTGGCTTCATGTAAACTGCCAAATCTAGTAATCAATTTATAAATGAAAGGACTAACACTTGGTTTTTTTTAATATATATTTTTTTATATATATAGGCTGGCTATGAACTTGTCTCTGTTGACGGGGAAACGCTGCAGAGCGTCACACACCAACGAGCAGTGAACCTCATTCGTCAGTCCTACAGTAACAAACAAAAAGAGCCAATGGAACTTGTTGTTAAAATCCCAAAGAGAAGCGAGAAACGATAACATTGAACTTTTCATACTGCTCTGTCACTTGCACTCAGCTTCCATGAACATAAGAATGGTGACTTACCAATTATTCAGTCCACTCCTGAAATCAGTGCTGTATGTTATTACTGCAAGTGCCTAATTAATTTCTTTCCGTCTTCCTTGTGCTTACTGGCAGACCGTACCAAGCTACGCATGATCACATGTAAATAGAGCACACCATGCTTTTATTTTTGTTACCCATGTATATAATGTAACATTCTTTTTTAGACTGCAACAATAAAGTTTTTATTGCACTAAAATATAATCACGTGACTTCATCTCAATCAGAAATTGCAGAATGTGTTTTATGGTAATTGATTTTCTCAAAGCAGTCTTTCAGCAAGGATACTAACTTAACTGATTCAGGCAAAGATACTGAAGGCCGGGACCCCTTGGTAACATTTGCCAAGTTGTGGTGGCCCCCAATGGAGCGCTGGACTCCAGAATTAGTAAGGCGCTGGACTTGGGACTAAAAATAGAAGCACACTCACAAGAATACAAGCCCTCCCCAGCCCCTGCTACCTGCTTGCCTGCTCTGTCTCCATGCAGCCTTCTCAGCCCCAGCACTGCTTAGACGCCCGCCTCCTGCAGAGCCCGCACTGTATGGGAAGCAGGAGGACAGCATCGGCTGTGAATAGAAAAGCCCTGCTGTACACACTCCCCAGCCACTAGATGTCACAGCAGCGGCCAGGGAGTGTGTATAGCGGCACTTTTATATTCACAGCCTCTGCTGTCCTCCCGCTGATTGACACTGACACTGCTGCGCTAGGAGGAAGCTGAGGAGCCTCTCACCTAGCGCAGCAGAAGTGGATGCTGCGACCCCCTCAACAGTGAGTTGCGACCCACTTTTGGGTCGCGACCCGCAGGTTGAGAACCGCTGCTGTAAATATGATTGTGAATATACAAGAAAAAATGAAAGCAGTCATAAAAATGCATAATAACCCAAAATGAGATATTGTTGAAAGTAACAAAATAGTTTATCTTAAATCATTATGCATTTTTATTTTTAGTACATATTCATTTTGATTTACTAATGCAGACGTAAAGGGACACGGTCACTTTGCCCAATTAAGGAAAAGTTAAGCTGGCCATACACCTATAGAATATCTGCAGATTTTCGATAGTCAGATGGAAAAAGTGCAACAGATTCCTCCATCTACACTAAACTGCGTGGATAGAGGAATCTCTCGCTGGGCCAAGCTTCAGTATCTTGCTAGTCGGCCCCGCTGGCTGTGAAAATACCTGAACAATCTGATTGGATGTAGGCATTGTTCAAGTATTTTGAGCCAGCGGGGCCAACGTGCAAGATACTGACGCTTGGCCCAGTGGCAGATTCCTCCATCCACACAGTTTAGCGTAGATGGAAGAATCTGTTGTACTTTTTCCATCTGACGCAGAAAATCTTCAGCAAATCTTTAGGTGTATGGCCAGCTTTACACCGTCTTTGTAAAGCCCCCACCCCTGATATTTACCTTACCAGCGCTCTTCTGCTGCTTCTGCCTCCATCACAGTTGGCCATCCCCCAGTGTTGGCTTGAGTCAGAAACTAAAGTTGGCCATACACCTTTAGATTATCTGCAGATTTTCTATGGTCAGATGGAAAAAATGCAACAGATTCCTCCATCTACGCTAAACTGTGTGGATGGAGAAATCTCTCACTGTACCAAGCTTCAGTATCTTGCTAGTTGGCCCCGCTGGCTGTCAAAATACCTAAACAATGCCTGCATCCAATCAGATTGTTCAGTTATTGCACCAGCCACTGGCTTTATACGAATATATAATAATTTTTTTTATTTCTGACCAACATAAAGAATATATGGAAAACACATTCGCACATGTACCACGCTGGCACTTGAAACCTTTTGGCAGATGGAGGGCAACATATCTAACTCTACTGCTCTATTAGATTTTAGGCTTCTTCCTTTCCACAAATAAATGACCATGTCAGGAATATTTTGTATAAATATAACTTGCTGTTTGGCACGAGGAACATCTGCATTTTTTCCTTCCAGAATAGCAAATCCTCACGTTCTATGAGAGGACAAATATAGCACAAAAAACACAGACATATTTAGACATCTGTGATCTGTGCAATGGCATCAGTGCAGCGTCCCAGGTGAATTCAGCATTTAGAATGCTGCTAATAAAAACTGACACCTCTGGACACTGTAGAGATCGATGATCATTAGGAAAACTGGCAAAACTACTCTATGTAGCCATTCCAGGAGTGGCGGACAGTTGTGCTAGATTCCATGTCTAGATTCTGGTGGTGCCCCATGGTTTCTAGTGATTCCCCTCTTACTACTTGACTATGCTAATGTGGAAGAGTATGAAGTATGCTATACTGTTTGTGCATCATGTGCTATCTTATTGTTTTATTCTATTCTGGAAAATTACTTTGAAAGAGAATCTGTTGACTTTTAACCCCAAAGGTTAAATCCATCAAAAACTTACATTTTAATTCTGGGTGAAATTTTGGTGGTTCTTTAACCTACTTTCTTCTTGTATGCCCTAAAGTGGAGCTATAAGGACATCCGATTCCCCCGCGTACCATTTGGTCAGAATGTTCTGCAAACTCTGATGCCATCTTTTCACAAACATAATTTTTAGCTATTCTTCGTGGGTTTGAAGGTCAGCCTATAAAAAAACAAAGTTCTTGACATGTTCACATTGGGTTAGCCTGCACAAATCATCAGCATCTTACAAATGCCAAGAAGGAGGATCATACCACGTCTACACAGGAGGAGTGAGTAATGAACACATGAATTACAAGCAGGGCCGTAACTACAGATCACGGGGCCCCATAGCAAAAATGTGATCCCCCCCCGAGTAACAATGCCTAGATCCCAAAGACTCCTCTTGTGCATCGGAAGTCGTCTCTTCACTGTAGGCTTTACAGGGGATCAGAGTTGACGGCTACTGCAACAACTCCAACCCGTAACGATACAGTACTGTGTCACATGTTCTATATTTAATGCGCTTCAACAATCTCATGGGGCCCCCTTCCACCGCCAGGCCCCATAGTATATAGCTATAGTTACGCCACTGATTACAAGGTACATCAAACAGATACTTTATAATTGAAATATTTGTACTCTTTTTAAGTGAAACCCCATTTAAAAGATTGTTTTGTTTTTTTTAAAGAGTGAGAAGGCGGTAAGACCTTTGTCTGTTTCACCACTGCCAATGGGCAAAGAGGAAACATTTAATATACCTCCATCAAACAATACCGGACTCAACCTTTCTTTGGACGATGCTGTAGCACTGAACAAGTAACACTGCAGAGATTATTGGTAGAATATGTTGACAGAAAAGTTTTCTTTAACATGAAAATGTTATTGTAGTATGCTGCAAACCACAAAGAATTTTTGATTTCAGAACCGAGAAGGGCTCCTTCATTAAGCCATGTATAGCGCCACATAGGCCTTGATGAAGGGGGCCTGCATAGCTCAGTAACATTGAATTTATTTTATAATTTGCAGAATACGACAATACAATTTCTAATAAAAAAATAAAAAAAAGAGGAAAGTGTCCTGATAAGACATTCTAACGTTTTTTGCCAACAGGTACACAGACAGCAATTATAATCTGACACGTTCTAACTTCCCTTTTTAAAAGTGGCTCCAGTTTCACTTTAAGGACTACAGGTGAGAACTTCCTTCTGGAGCTCCTGGCTCTGTTCTGTATGCTGTGGATCTCACTTCTCCAGAAGTGAAATAGAGGTGTCCTTGTCATAGCCACAGGATTTTGCTTCAAAAGGAAACTCAAGTCCAACGCTAACACCATCAGAATTTCCGGAGATATAAATAGCCAGAGTGTAACCCAACTTGGTGATGAACTCTGATGCATAACCCCTTAAAAAATAAATAAATTATAATATATATATATAAAAACAAGCTCACACAATACATAGCCCAATGTAAACCCAGAAACTGAAGTTCTACAGAAACGAGAGAGGAAGCATGCTTTCATTGGGCATTGTTTGATCGTTTATACAGCGGTCATATCTCAGCCCAGAATGCAGACTCTGCGTCTCTCTGAAAAATAAGCAGAGTGAGAACGTTTATATTACTGCACCACCAGCTCTATTAAAAGCCATAAATAGTTCATTGGTGTCTGTAAAAATTTACATAATTCGCATTAATGGGTTTACTTATTCAGCCCCTATCACTGTGTGCAGGACTTTCTAAGCATATTTCCTTTGCATTAACTAACATGCAGTAAATTGAATACAGGGACTTTCCAGAGCACACACATACATTTGAATAAGCATACATCCCAGAGTTTAGATTAAATTCCGCCCAGAGACTTAGCAGCTTGGATGAGTCTTTACTGAGGAGCCCCAGTCACATGAGACAACTGCTTCTGGAAAATACACTTACTCAATGGTTCCAGGGTCAAATTATAGAGTAACAGGACATGATTGTGGTTTTACACAGCAGCTAATATTTAAATACAGACGCAAGGATGCATGTAAGCAATCAATAGTTTGGTCACTTTTTATGAAGCTGTATATTTATAGGGATTATGCCGGGAAGTATATACAATTTTAGCTTTAGGCCAATTGGGACCAGTACACACTATGTATAGTGCACAACTGAAAGAGGAAACTACAAACTGTGTGAAACGTTACCATCAAAGACACCAGCCAGGGCTGTATTTAGACCTAATGATGCACGAGACACACCTAAATTATTTTTAGCAAAAACACTAGAATAAGCGAAATGGCAGCAGCATGGGTTTTACTTTATATGCAGAACTACCTTTTATCAGTACGAAACGGCAAACAAGAGAAAGGAGAGCGAGTCTTCTAACTCCTTTTAACCTTTCTTTGGCTTTAATCCTCTTTTGGGTCAGAAGAGGTATATTTACTAATGTACTCCTGTGACCTAAGGTCAGCATCTAGTGAGCTATTGACTGCTATTTGTTCACCGTGCACAGCAGCGCTGCAGCCTGGAAAGATCCCGACAATGTTGTCAGGATCCATTCCGCTGCCTGATTGACAGCTGGCTTTGCCTCTCTAGGGCATA